CATGATTTGTCAGGGAGGTTTATTCAGTGTGGGAGAAAATAAAATGAGAGACAAGACAAAGTTAAGCATTCAGAGGCTGGTAAATATTCGATTTGATTAATCCACGACTTGAAGGTGGGAGGTGAATTTTCTGCCCTGCTGGCAGCCTCTCTGGTTTGTCAGCGAAACAAGGCATCTCTTGTTATGACATAACGCTGATCAGCAGTCGTCTGTCTCTTATATAACGCCACAGGGTGCCGGCTAAACCATGGTCCGTATGTGCCTGATGGAAACCCCATTAGTTTCCCCTGAGCTCCAGGGAGAACTGAGGGGGGACAGATGGTCCGGACTGAGAGAGAGTGACAGAAAATAAAATGGGAGAGAAAATAAAGAGACTTAAGAGAAAGATGGAGAGATCAGGGGAAAGAAAAGACAAAAGAATTGAGGAGGTTAAAAAGAGAAGGCAGTGAAAGGGAGACAGTGTCTCACCCCCTCCTGTGAGGCAGTCCAGAACAATATTAGTTGACTCCCCCATTCTGAGAACTTAACTTCCCAGAAGTTTCTCTTAATCCCTCATGCCTTTGGGCTTTTATTCTTTACAGTGAGGGAAGAGAAAATCCCCTCTATTATATAAATCTGTGGTTCAGAGACAGATTACTGGTGACTCTGCTAATGCCAATGCAGCTTCAGCAACTTTGAGTACTTCAATGTGTTGTGTGTTTCAGTTCTCAGTGTATCCTGACACCCTGTGGTCATAAAAGGTAGCACATCCTTAAGTCAACATAATAAGGCGAGGAGATGGTAGCCAGTAGGTTGGTGGTCCAATGACTGACAGGTATACGATCCAAGATACCAAACTTGGAGGCAGCTTACATAAATTTGCACTTAAAGGAATAATCAGTCCTCAGAAACTGTCACACACTTATTTATCATGAGTTTGCAAAGTACATGCATTGCTTCTTTGATTGTCTTGGCCAGATATTCGATAGTGTGGAATATCAAAATATTTTCCATCATATGCAATATGTTTCTAAAGAGTAATATCGGAATTTATCTTAGTTATTTATTTATGTATTTGTACAGTCCTACCCTTATGTCACTGCTTTGCTTACTGTTCATTGTACTTTAGCATGTGACAAATTAAACTACAGTTGTTTAGTGGCAGCATTGTTTACACCTTAAACATAAAATACAATAATATTGTACATCATGATATCTGGGCTGGACTGTATCGGATATCGCCCAAGCCCACTGTTTGGTCCGCCTGCTTTTCCTCAACCTATCCCCCTTTCACTCTTTATACATACCTGCATTGCATTACAGTCTATTAAAGCCATTGTTTGTGGTAAAGAAGTCGTTATTTCCGCCATGTTGGATGGAGTCCAGAAGCAGGCCTACACTTTCTGCTCCACATGGAGGATGTAAAGCACCCTGATACTGGAGTGAATCCTTTAAAAATGTCCTCTCAGTAGTGAAGTACTTCCTGTGTGTATCGTATTGTATTGGACATCCCTGCATTTGAAAAATGGGCGTGGTCGATGTAGAGGACTGTTCCAGAGTATTACAAGTCATGCCCTCTGTACGCTGGTATATTTTCATTAAAAACCTGTTTAGGATCCGTCTCATATAAACTACACACCAGACACAATAAGCTGCTGACTTCACTCATAGCCCCTCTCTCTCTGTAGACCAGTTATCAGTGATTAAACCTCTTCACAGAGGCAGTGGTGATATCAGGAGGCCTATGGGATCACTGCTACTGTCACCACCCGCTGTACCGTCAGACAGCACTAATGAGCTGTTTCAGGCCGAAGCAGACACTCCTCTGTCTGTGTGTGTGTGTGTGTGTGTGTGTGTGTGTTGATGGTTTTCTATGTGTTTGTGTGTATCTGTGTTTGAATAGTTTATTGCATGTACCACGCAGCTCTAATTTCTCCCCTGACACACAGATAAATCACCTCAACATTTGTGTCAGCCCTGGTGAGAGGAGCCGCTCCAGCAGAAGTGATCAATACCTCAGTGAGTGTGGCAGGGCTCTGTGATTCCTGTTAAGGTGCTCAGGCTATCAGCCCTGATGTAGAGGTGGGGATCGGACAGGGTGAGCTCATATATCTGTTTTGGAGTGTTCAGGTCTGGATCATTTCCTTTTTATAGTCTGCCTTAAACAAAATGGAGGACGTTTGGCAGAGCCGGCCTTATAGTCTGGTAATAGGGGGTCACTGACGTTGAAATCTATTCCAGTAGTGTGACTGTAAGTTAGACAAAATTCCTTATGATCCTCATACAGTGTTTTTTTTTTTTTTTTTTAAATGGAGCTGGTCCTGTCAGCTCATTATACCACTGTTTATAGGCTTTTAAGGCCAGCTGGCTTTTGACTTGTGTTCCACACAGAACCACTAGAAGTAGTTCAGCAATTAAGATATAAAGGGTTCACTCAAGCCAAGCGTTGTCATTGGTGAAAAGTGTGTGCTAAACTGTGGGGTTGTTGTGCCAACATTTCTGGTACCCAGCTACTTGCATTCTTGTTTTTATGATCTACTGTTTAGCAAAGACTTTCTCACCAAGACTGCACCACCACCCTACTGCATTCCCATGGTGCACATAGGAATTAAAAGTACATTTCAAACTATAGCCTGACAAATACCAGATCTTTGTGGTCTGCACAGAATACAGATTTAATATGTAAACAAGCAGTTTTTAGAAGGATCCCTGAAAACTTAGTAGGTCTCCTTCAGACTAGACATCTGCACATGTCAGAGTAGAAAAAACTCGCGTGTGAATAATAAAATGAATCTTGGGCTGAAGCTGCTTCAGTGTCATGGTCCTGGTGTTGCGTGTTCTGGCTCACTGTCATGACTTAACTGGTGTATTTGAATAGAACAGCCATCGTTAATGTCATTAGTAACACCTGTGCTGAGTCAAAATTTCTGCTGACCAAGATACAGTACATACTGAGAAAAAAAAAAACAAAACACAAAAAGTGTTCTGTGTGAAAACCTACTATTAAACTGTATCTAAATTATCTCATTTATCAGGCAATTATGTGTCACAGTTTCTTGTTGCTGATGTAACTCCAATAAGTAATATACTGCTGCGCTCCATTTCATCGTACTGGTGAGCTGCTTTGGGGGGAAAAAAACAGTCTCTATCAGCTGATAATCAAACAGCTGCAGGTGGTGGAGATGGTAAACTTTTAATTAATGAAGTCAGTATGTGCCGTTTAGAGCGCCGACTATAGACCACACCCAGGTGGCTCCACTCAGCTCTGGGTGTACTGGGTTATGGAGCCACCCACTGTCATTGGTGCATAGAGGTTGGAGACATCATTATATTCTCTGCATAGCTCCAACTAACTTCAACCTGACCAGACCAGGCCATTTGTAATACTAAATATAAGATAAAAAAAATTATTGTAGCTCTAGATTTCCACTTTTTGTATTAAAAACCATAAAGTATTTTTGCTCTACAGAGGCAGAACCACAGGAGATATGAAATATTGACGTGTATACATGACTGCAGCTAAATACTATGTCTAAAGCCTTGTTCATCCTCTGTCCCTTTGTATTTTGACATAATTCTGAGCCACAGTGTTAGTATTGCTTTACAATACACCGATAATATTCTCTTGTTGCTGCTGTTGCTGTTGTAAGAGTGTGTGTGTGTATTCAGTAAGCACAACAAAGCTGATCTCACAACAATAGACCCCTCCCTCCTTTCACCACAAGAGTCTCTACACACCCACAGCATCATGATGCACTGTGACACGCGCACACACACCTACATCCACACACACACACACACACACACACACACACACTGATAACTGAGCTCACAGAGGAAGGTTTAAGGGGCGGTTAGTCTGGCACTTTGTCAGAGCATAGCGTGCAGCAGAGGCACATGCAGAGCAACACACACACACACACACACACACACACAAAAACACACACACACACTAACACACACTGTGGACAGAGATGCCTGGTGAAAAAGAGAGAGCGTGTTAGAGGGTGGAGCAGAGACATGCTGAGGAAGCTGGTGTGCAAGAAAATCTGCGCTCGTAAGAATAATGCCTTTTATCTCTCCTATTCTTCTCCTCCGTCCTCTCCTCACTCTCTGTCGCTCCCCGTCTCTCTTGGTGTTTTTTGTCTTTCTCATCTTTCTCTGCCTGTGAATGTTTAGATTTCTACCTCGTGCTCTCTCTCAACCTGTTGCCTTTTCTTCCCCATCCTCCACTGTGTCTGGTTTTATGTGATGGATGCAGTGTCATGGTGACAGCCTTGGCAGCAGGGACATTCAGGGAGCTGTTTTTTTTGTGTGTGTGTGTGTGTGTGTGAGGCTGATCATTGTTCCGACTTTTTTTTTTTCTGGCTTTACTGATGAAAGCATTGTTTATGTGTAGCTGAAAAGGGTAGGCTTCATTCTTGAACCGCAGCCCGTCTATAAGACGATATTCTTTCTGATAGATGGATTGATATGTTTTCAAAATCAAAATGAAAAGACTAAATGTCCTTTTAGAAATAGTAAGTGATTGAAGCCTCAAACATTCCTGTCGTTGCCGTGCCTCAGCTGGCACCAACCACCCAGCGCCGTCATATCAGCCCCCCGGGCTAATCCCTCGTGTGAATAGTCACGTTGGGCAGGTGACAGGGGGTCATGTATCCGTGCATGGCTGTCAAACCAGATTAAAGTCGGATGGATGGATAGATAAAGGTTGAATGGATATGTACACACAACCCTGACAGATTGACTCTCCCCCCTGAAGGTGGAAAGAGGTCATACATTGCAGAGATGACTCAGGTCCTACTCTAGGCAGATTAACGACAAGAGAATGATAATGCAGCTCACCACTAACCAGGATGTCTCTGATTGATGTGTGAATAATGATTTATTGATCCTCATGAGAAATGTCTCTCATGCTGTCATCGAGGCCTTCCTGTGAATAACATTTACCGTTATCCCGAGGAGATTTTAATCAACTGTTACCTCACAAATTCCCCTTTTTTCTTTCTCTGTTGTTGCAGATAAGAACTTTGAGGATGAGGACTCCGTGGATGGAGGCCGGTCCTCCTCCTCATCGTCCTCAAAAGCTCCCCCCAGTGGACGGAGGACGGTAATGAGCTCTGTCAGAAGACCCAGCTCAGCCACCACAACAAAGATCACGGGTGAGGGATGGTTATGGTCTGTTAAGAAACTACCAGATGTAATATACACTCACTGAGCACTTTATTAGGAACACCAAACCAAAATGGGTAGTTCCTCCCTCTTCATGTTATGGCTCCACCAGTTGTTGAAACTTTCCTCTGAGACTCTGCTCCATGTTGACCTGACCGCATCACATCATTCCAGCTGATTTGTCAGCTGCACATTGATGCTGCCAATCTCCTGTTCTACCACATCACAAAGGTGGTCTACTGCATTCAGGTCTGGAGACTGGGGGGGGGGGGGGTCACTGAAAAGTTCACTGAACTCACTTATTTATGTTGATGTTGATGAAACCAGTTTGAGATGACTTTAGCTTTGTGACATGGAGCATTATCCTCTATGCACAGATAAGCTGAGGCATTAAAACCTGGTAATTAATTTGTATTAAAGAGCCCAAAGCGAGTCATGAAAACATTCCCCACACCATCACACCACCACCACCAGCCTGGACTGTTGACACAAGGCAGGTTGTCTCCATGGATTCAGACTCTGACTCTACCATCTGCTGCCTCAGCACAAATCCAGATCCATCAGACCAGGTCTTCATCTGTCCAGTGTTGGTGAGTCTGTATCCACTGCAGACTCAGGTTTCTGGTCTTGGTGACAGGAAGACTTACCTGATGTAGTCCGTCCACTTCAAGGTTGGATGTGTGCTTCTCTGCTCAGCACAGTTGTAAAGAGTGGTTATCTGAGTGACCGTAGCCTTTCTGTCAGCTCCAACCAGTCTGTCAGTTCTCCTCTGACCTCTGAACTCTGACCTCTCCCATCAGCACAGAGCTGCTGCTCACTGGATGATTTCTGTTGTTGGCTCCATTCTGAGTAGAAACTCTAGAGACTGTTGTGTGTTGTTGTCACTCATTCTGATGTTTGATGTGAACATTAACTGAAGCTCCTGACCTGCTCCTGCTTTTCTGCATTACACCTCTGCCACATGATTGGCTGACTGGATAACTGCATCAATAAGTAGGTGTACAGGTGTACAGGTGTACCTAATGAAGTGCTTAGTGAGTGTTCACTATACATGGCTGCTTTCAACATTAGGTATAGTAAATGTGTCAATACTAAAACTGTTACTACAGATAAAGATGCATTTCATGCTGCTGAGATTATTCTTTAAAAGTGTTGAATTTCTGTTAAAATCCCTTTTATCTTCTGTTCAAAGGTAAAGAAGCAGCAGCCGGTGCTGTTGATGAAGAGGATTTCATCAAAGCCTTTGAAGACGTGCCCTCGGCTCAGGTATATTGATCCCAGACATTCATGGTCCCCAGAGAATAAGTCTTACTAACTTTTTATCTAGTGCCACCATGAGGTTGACATGTTTGTTTTTTGTGGAAATATCTCAACAGCTGTGATAGATTGACGCAATATTTGGTTCAGATTGAACCAAATAGATTGTCGAGATGATGAATCTCAATGATTGATTTTTGATGGTCCTCTAACTTTTTAATGGCGAACAACCACCAGCTCAAAGTCAACAGAAATTTCTCTACATGTACTTGATGCACTGGCACAACATGTTGTATACACATTGGTGGTTTACCAGATGATTTAGACTTTGGTGATCATCTGACTTTTCCTCCGGCGCCACTGTGAACTTGTCAGTCATGAGTTTGAGGGAAATATCTTCAGTTATGGGATGGATGGACAGTCATGTGCCTGTTGGGACAAGCCTCAGCTGAATATTGCTAATCAGCAAACCCTCACTGAGTATGAGGGTCAGCTCAGATACTACACACACACATTACAGCCACTACAGACTTCTACCTTCAGGCCACAGATACAAGTAACTCATATTCAGCACCATGTCAAGCTTTAGCCTGGGCTTGACCTTACCTCCACTCACCTACTACTCTTTATCTCTGCACTATTGTAAGCACACTTACTATCTTAAGCTGTAGTACACTCACTAAACTGCACTTGTTTGTTGTCTACTTTGTGTCTTTCATTTTTCTGACTATGTGTTGTGTTTTCACTGATGCTTTTACACAAATGAAGTTCATAATGGATAAATAAAGTTATTTTTGAGTTTCTTAAATAACTACACTGAGGTGGTGAACATGGTAAACATTATACTTTATTAGTATCAGCATGTTAGCATTGTCATCGTGAGTATGTTAGCATGCTGACATTAACATTTAGCTCAAAGCACCGCTGTGTCTAATGACACCTCCACGGAGCCACTGGCATGGACATAGACATTTGCATTAAGTGTAAATACACCACTAAGAGGAAGATAAAGATAAGATAAGATAAGATAAAGAATCAGAATCTTAAACAAAACAGATGTGTAACATAAAAACTGATTCTATGATTATGTCTTTTTAATGTCTTTCTGTGTCCAGATCTACTCTAACAGAGAGCTGGAGGACCAGCTGTCCAAGATCAGAGAAGTTCTGTCTGATGACAAACATGACTGGGAGCACAGAGTGGTGGCGGTAAGACTCAGAAACCAAATGTATCCTCATCCACACATGTACACAGGTTACAAGTGCTGGAATTTAATGATAATATAACACAACATGCCTTTGTCTCACACTCCTCTTCTTTCTTGTTCCTCTGCAGCTGAAGAAGGTGCGTTCACTCGTGCTGGCCGGCGCCACAGAGTACGAGGGTTTCCCTCAGCAGCTGCGTCTCCTGGAAGCTTCCCTCAAGCTGTCAGCTAAAGACCTGCGCTCCCAGGTGGTCCGCGAGGCCTGCATCACACTGGGGTAAGATCCCGAGCTGAGCAGGATGTTCTGTCCCGCCCAGATCTCTCTAAATGTTTTTGGGACACAACAGTTGGGTACCATTTTACCGTAGCTTAAATCTGGTAACTTTTTTGGGGCTCTGTGTTAAAACTACCAAATATATTTCCTTTTCTAACAAATAATAATATTATAATAATTCCCTGGAGAATTGCATATTTTCACCATTTGCACATAGTTTCAGACATAAGTCTTAATCATAAAGTGAGGACACAGTAGAGATGACTTTTCTCATTCCCACTGTCTTGTTTCTTTGATTTCCAAAAGTTAATATTATAATCTTAACAATTCATATAGCATACACTTGATATTTAGATTGCTGCTGCGTTCTGTCTACCTTGGAAGTCGGATGTTGGAGCTGGGAATGAGGTCACACCTAAGTTGACTGCATTCCAGTACTATAAGTTGGAAGCTTGTTATTGTTGTTATTTGTCGTTATTATTATAATACCAGTTTTTAACAAAGCCTTATGCTGTATTTTATGCATACAAGCACTGTAGCAATATGTCCACAGATTGGACAGCACTGTGTGTATGACTGATTCAATGAGACTCAAATAAGGCAAAAGTGCTAATCAACAGTAAATTGCTACAGTTTTCACTTCAGTTGATTTGCAGAGCAGCCATCTTGGATTTTGAGGTCCGGGTTGGTGAGGTTCCTCCGACTTCAGGCGGCGTTCTAGTTGAAATTCCCGAAAATTTCCAGTCAGAATTTCAGACTTCCCTGTTGAAATGGAACGCACGGTTAAGTGTTGAAACAGTACATTGTGGTTTTAAAACATTCCAAACAGTATTATTTGATATTGACAGTAATATGTCATCGTGAAGTCCATCGGTAGTCGAATGTATTTTAGGATTTTCTTATTGTCATTGTGTTAGGTCACTGAAAGTGTGAGAAACATAATATGTAAGCATCTAGTGTACATAGCAGCCCTGGTTTGGTCCCATGATAACACAATTAACAGTTCAGCCTTTTTATACTTGATTATCAGAATTTGATTAGAACTTCCCAGTGAGTGCACAGATAATTCAAAAAACGGCACAACTCTAATATACAGGTTAATACAGTGACTAACTGAAAACCTAATAAAATGGTGATCACGTGTCAGATGGCCATGGTGACTTTGATTGGCAGCCATGATATTAACAGGAATTTGTAACTGATTAGCCTGAACCAGGAAAACAGCATGAAGCATAAAGTATTTTCTCTCCACACACTTAAGCTAATGAAAATAAGCCCTGATTAGATATGAAACGAGCAGCGCACTCTCCATCCTAAAACATCTGTCATCCAAACTTTAATACAGCCCTGATGAGGTGGAACAGAGCAGAGACACACCGAAAGAGCAGTAGGTTGATGAATGGATGGGAGGGGAGATGTCACCATCGCATCTTGCCTCTCAATCCAGTACAGACATTCCCCGGCTGAGGGTGATCACATATTGAATTTTCCGACCATTTTTTAAAACTGTTAAAAGCTAAAAGGCGTCTATTGATTTTTGATTTCCTCTATTTTTGTTTTCTTTGTCTTCTTTTTCTTTTTTCTCTCTGTTGGAGGTTTGAGGTTCTTTCCAAAAATAGACCCAATCTACTATCAATAATCTGACAGCTGCTTTTTGCCTGTTTGAGAATATTATTTGGCTAAAACTCTTTGCGTCTTACACCTAAGTTAAAATACAGAAACTGAAATAAACTCTCATATTATAGCATGATTGTTAGAGGAGCTGTACATTTTAGACATTGGCCATCATATTACATTTGTTCTTTAACGCGGTCTTCTTCCCTCTCTTTACCCTCCGTCAGACATTTGTCATCAATCCTGGGAAACAAGTTTGACCATGGAGCGGAGAGCATCATGCCCACACTGCTGAACCTTGTGCCCAACAGTGCCAAAGTCATGGCCACATCCGGGGTGGCCACCATCCGCCTCATCCTCAGGGTAGGACATCTACGGGGGGGGGGGGGGGGGGGGGGGGGGGGGGGGGGGTGATGTGGTGCCTCAGGTCATCTAGAAGTTATTGTAACAAGACATAATGTAACCTGAATAACACTGTTTTTTGTCTTTCCCCTGCAGCACACACACTACCCCCGTCTCATCCCCATCATTACCAGTAACTGCACCTCCAAATCAGTAGCAGTAAGACGGTAAGAAGACTTTGTTACTGGTATTAAATGAAACAGGGTGTCTGTTAATATAGTTACTGCAGGTCAAAAATGAAAAGCTGCATGATTGATTTTGTTTACATTCGTTCATGTCAAGCAGAGATTGACATTTTATCCATATATTCCAGATAGACTGTACATGCTAAAGTTTCCATATTTGACACTTTTCCTGTGTTTTATCTGACATGTTGATCCATAGGAAGATATATTTGTGGTTTTAAGAACCAAAAACCGTCTCAATGTAGTTTCTCCTCTCTCAGGCTACTCAGAAGTCCTGACAGCTGGTTTTAAGGCTCAGTTTCTGAATACAGGCTGTGTGCATTTCTCTGTGGACTGAGGCTTTGATACTTTCACAGTATTAATATAGAACCTAGACCTGCTTTATAATCAAACAACACATGGACATCTACCTTTATACTATATGAGACCGTTCAAGTTTTCTATGTCATGATATTGCAAACCTGAGAGATGTTTAACTTTTGTCACTTTTCCAGGCGCTGTTACGAGTTCCTAGATCTCATGTTACAAGAGTGGCACACCAATACACTGGAAAGGTAAGACGAGTCTCTTCAGAAGGAAAATATCAGCTGTTTCCTCCACAACTATCGAATCACTTGGCAAGTTGTGTTTTTCGTGTGTGTCTACAAATACGTACCAGGATGCAGCTTCTCCTCCTCCTCCTCTCACTCGATGACATTTGAGTTCGCTAACATTTGAGTTAACAAAGCACTGGCTGGGTGCACCACTGATGAGGCCTATTAAATTGATGAGTGCCGAGAGAGCCGTCATCGTCAGGACCTCGAGCGATAAGGCAACTTTGCCCGTCCTCGTAACCATGGCAACCGCGGCAGAGACTTTAAAAAGCATGCAGAAAACCCTGTGGGTGGCCACATTCCCTGTGGACCACCAGAGGATTAAAACTGGAAGAAGGAGAAAAGGAGAAAGCCTTTTTGTTCTTGAACATTTTGAGGTTTAAGGTTACAGAAGTCATCCATCAGTACTTGGTGGTTTTTATATTGGCGTGAGGTTAACTGTTAGTGTCCTCCTCACCATGTTCCCTTACTATCCCAGACATGTGGCTGTTCTGACCGAGACCATCAAGAAAGGAATACACGATGCGGACTCTGAGGCCAGATCCATCGCTAGGAAGTAAGTGTTGTTTAAGACTGAACTTTTTTATGTCTTTGTTTTATGAGAAAGCCAAGTATTCACAAATTTTTACCCTGTCTAAACTGAAAATCCTTCCTTGTCCTCATCTATAGGTGCTATTGGGGTTTCCATGGTCACTACAGCCGGGAGGCAGAGCATCTGTTTCAGGCACTAGAGTCCACCTATCAGAAGGCCCTGCAGTCTCACCTGAAGAGCTCTGACAGCATTGTGTCTCTACCCCAGTCGGACCGTTCTTCATCGTCTTCCCAAGAGAGTCTTAAGTAAGAACTATGACGTCCTCCACACTAAGCTTTCTCCTCCTGTCCTCACTCTGTTCCCCTTGTTCCATCTTTACTCTCCTGCTTTACTCCACCTCCTTCTCTCCCTCTCTCTTTTCTGTCTCTATCTCCTACTTCTTTTCTATTTGTTGTAATTTATTGGAGGAAACCACTAATGCATCCATCTTATTGATGATTGTAAAAACATTGGTAATTATTGTCAGACGAACAGCAGACGAGTGAGAGCTCTCACACACACACTCTCACACACACACACACACACACACACACACACACACACACACACACCCACTCTTGGATGATTGTGATCAGTTTATAGATTCCCTATGGAGCATGTTGGCTAATGACCTCATAGTCCACCCATCAGGGCTGCAGCTGCTGTGGTCATCTGTGTGTGGGGTGTTTGTGTTTATGGGGATGAGCTCATCTTCATTTTATTTATTTTTGTTATTTTGACAGAAAGGTTTTCAATCTGTTGAATAGTTTTAATTCTACACACTGTACACAGGCCATTTATCGTTGTTATTCCTATTTAACTTGCTGTCCAACACAATTTATCCATACATTTTATAAAAAACAATACAATATTCACTGTGCTAATTCATAAATACAACACCTGTCAATTGTTGTCAAATGCTCATAAAGTCTAAAAAGTGTTTCCTCTGTTTTTTTCAGCCGGCCATTGTCTGTGAAGAGTGTCATTGGAGGGAGCATGACAAGGAGTAAGCCACTTTCATTTCTCTTTATCTATTCTATCCCTTTGTTTGTGGTTTTCCCCAGAAATGAGAAGTATATTAGGTGCGTAGTGAAGTTAGTAGAGACAAAGCAGTTTAGATTATCCAGGTCTAAGTTGCTATTTTATCAGCTGTTCTAATGACCCCTTGATAATAACCTTAAATAACCTTATATATACACTGTCTCCAATAGCACTAATGTATAGCTTAGAGTTGAAGACTAAGATGAGACTTTAGTGATAAATTCACAGCAACAAACAAATCTAAGCAAATATCATTCAAAAGCTACAGTATATATGTGATATACACTCATTTCATTAGGTACACCTGCTTATTCATGAAGTTATCCAATCAGTCTCTGAAGATGTGCTTTATGATTCTGACCGTCACTGTCTGGGACCAATCACACGCCTCCTTAATGGTATTGCGTGATGGATCTAAATATCTAAGGTGCCTAAAACCTTTGCACAGTGTGAGGAAGTAATGAGTCCAGTCTGCTGGGCTTCAGCTGGATTTTTGCAGTAGTCACTTTTCTTGTTGTATTATCTAATGTCAGTGGGCGCTAAAGCTCTGCTGCCACATGATTGGCTGCACTGGCTTCCTGTGTGTCAAAGGACAGATTTTAAAATCCTACTACTCATCTATGAAGCTCTAAATGGACTTGGGCCAAAACACATCTCTGATCTACTTGAACGATACGAAGCATCCAGACCCCTCAGGTGATCTGAGACAAGTTTACTCAGTGTTCCCCGAATCAGAACCAATAGGCAAAGTGAAGCAGCTTTTAGTTTCTCTGCTCCTCAGCTGTGGAACAAGCTTCCTGAACACCTGAGACTTACTGAAACTGTCAGCTCATTTAAATCAGGGATTAAAACACAGTTTGCTGTGATTTACCAATAAATCACATACATAACATCTTTTTAATCTTGTGTTGTGTTTGCATTTGCTTGTTTCTTGATTTTATACAATCTTGATATGACTTATATATATATTTTTGTTTATACAAATTAGTTTTTAAATGCTATTTTAATGTCATGTTAATGTTCTGTTTTTGATATATTTCCATGCCTCTATAAAGCACTTTGAATTGCTTTGTGTCTGAATGGGGCTGTATAAATAAACTTGCCCTGTGTTGCACATACTGTATGTGGAAGTTCAAAGTAAAAAGTCGAAAGGCTCTTAAAATGAACTGCTTCTGCTCTGCTGTTCTAGGTAAGCTGGTGAGCACCAGGATGCCTACCACACCGGGTTCCCTCCAGCGCTCCCGTAGCGACATTGATGTAAATGCCGCCTCCAACGCCAAGTCACGTCTGTCGACCGTCCCCGCATCCTCACCGTTCAGCTCTGCAGCTGCCCTCCCCCCAGGATCCTACGCCTCATTAGGTAACCCGTCCATCATCTCCCTCTGACGATCTAAAACCACAAAAACAAACGTCTGCATGGCAACTCCAGTTCATTGTGTAGAAAGACAGCGCAATGCACATGCACACACTGGCACAATGTTCAGACAGTCAAGTAGTTAGAGGACAACGCTAGCAAGGATGAAAGGCTAGGCTAAAAAGCCTGTGAATTAATTAAGCTAGCATGTTGCTACCCTTGACTTACTGAAGAAAAGACGGAAACCCTGAGAATAAACACTGCAATGTTGCAATGTCCTGTCTCAGTGGCCCGTCTCCCGTCATCATGAAGTATTACAACATTTTCTCTTGTAGTCACTGGCTTTTATGGACCTGACTGGGATTATTAATGACCAGTGAGTTTGTCATTAGACTGTTCTGTCAGCAGGAACTGTTTAATTCCTGCACTGACACTTCTGACAAATCGATGTGATGAGGCTGAGTAACCCCCCCCAGTGTGATTAAAACCCCTGATACTTTTTAAGGATGTTTTCACTCACATCTTCAACTAATGGGGGATGTTTAAGCCACCCCCGCCTACGCATTTACTGTAATCTTTTTTCCTGTACAGAAACTTCTCTCCCTCCCTTTTTTTCTCCAATGAGTCCCTGTGGCTCATTAACAGCCATTACTAATGATGAGGAGGCCCCTTGCTTACCCACTCACTCCTGCTCTTGCTTCAATTGCTACTAACGTCTTCCTCTATACCTCTCCTTCCACTCGCTGCTGCACTGCCTTTCTTAAATCCCCAAAAGATGGCGCTTCCGGTAAAAGTGATGGTAAGAGTTGTGTGTCTGTTTGTGAGAGAGAAAACGTATGAGTGTGTCTTCTTGTCAGCTGTCACGGGCTACATACTTACATCTTTTTCTCTTCATCTGTGCCCTCTTTTCTTCTCTTTACCCCCCCCCCCAAAAGTGGTCATCAGTTATGTGGAACTCTGCATGGACTGTCTGCATGGATTTTATCGTCTGACTGTAACCCTAACAACTGTCTCCATCAGTTCTGTTACTTACACAGCAATAACGTGAGAATTATTAAATCTTGACAAGATGCTTCTGTTTTAACCGGCAGCTTTTCTAGCCATTACAGCACCGGTCACGTGACGCTACTCAACCAGTCATTGCAACTTCAGTCAGTCAGTTTTTATTTCATTTTGTAAAATTAAGCAACCAATTATAATTTTTTCAAGCACCCTCTGTTATGTAGTTTTTATTATTACAGCCATATTTTCCTTGAAATGCTAAAAGAACATATATAAAGAAGGTATTATTATTTTAGAATAATTTTAGAATATCATGCATATATATATATATAATATATATAATATAGTATATATTGATGTGTGTGTGTGTGTGTCGTGTGGTGTGTGTGTGTGTGTGTGTGGTGGGACACCCAAACTCCCCAATCTGAAAAGTGCACACGACATAATTTTCGCTGGGGTCTTGTATGGCGTGGGTGTTGGGTGTGGTGTTGGTGTGTGTGTGTGTGTGTGTATACACACCCTTCGCAACAAATGTTTTGGACCTTTGCTTGAGGAAAACTGGACATCATTTAATTTTAATTGAATATACCTTCTATTTACAATGTGGCATGAAATTATATTGAGAATCATACCATCTGTTTCTCAATATAATTTTTTTTTTTTTTTTTGTCACCCACAAATAAAATGATCTAGTTTTAAATTACAAACACAAGAAGCTTGTCCACCTAAACTGGAAGGAAACAGCATGCAAACTGAGTAGAAACACCAGAGTAGTGGATCAGGTGCACACTTTGTAATCTCAGAGTAACACGTCCTCTCCACCTCAAGGACACTTTTATTCTTTGTTTGCAGAGTAGTTCTTGTTACCACAGTCCCTGTTTTTGAGGAACTATTCTTGGCATGTTCTGTAACCGGCTCCAGTTCTGATGGATTTTGCCCCCAAAGTTATCAAAGAATCCTCCAATCTGATTGCAGCAACCCTCCTGTTATGTAACCACACCTAACATTTTATAACAGGGCTGACAGGACTGCAGGACTGTGTAATTATCTGTTTATACATAAAAAATAATCAAAGGGTAGAGTTAAAGATATTTTAAATCTTTGTCTTTAAATCTACTTAAGCTAGACTTTTAGCTCGCAGCTAGCAGTACCTCTTGGTCTGACTTAGGAAGGCTAACAATTTTGACATTTGTTTATAGCGAAATGTCTAATAAAAATGTTTTTCTCCTTACTGTTGATGTGAATAAGTTCAATATATCAGAGAATTTACTGACATTTGCTGGTTCTGTTTCAAACATAGGAGTGTCAGTGTTTGTCTTTCTCCAGACCTGGGTCAAAAGGTTTGCCAATACTTCTTATTGTTTGTTTTATCACATGAAGACACATAAGTGTGAAACAACACAAGGACTTAAAAGTCTCTTAACTTGTGTTTTTCTGTGTTTCATGTCTTAGCTAGCAGTAGTAAAACTGTTCTTACGGACAAACCTCAACCCAAATCTTGAACTTGTGTTGAAGATCAAAACAAACACTGAGAATTATTCACAAACACTAATGGACCCTGGTTTGTCTGTTTTCCCCTTTGTGTTTTCAGAGGGGCTCTGTCCCCTTGTCCAGGTCTTCTTCATTCTGTCTCCCCAGACTTCCTCCTACAGCATCTCTGTCCAGGGTTGGGGTGAATGTTGGTGACTTGTCCAGATTCATTAAACTAACTCCTCTCCCCCTCTCCCCCTCTCCCCCTCTCTCCCTCTCTTCCCTGCTCATCCAGGTCGCGTTCGTACCAGGAGACAGAGCTCCGGCAGCGTGGGTGGAGCCAGCACCTCCATGGTGGACAGCAGGGGGCGGAGCCGAGCCAAAGTGGTCTCCCAGTCCCAGCGTACGTACACACACCTCACACACGTTCTCATCAAGGTCAGGTTTCATACAGCTGCGAGTGTCACTCTCATATTTACATATGATCTGTGTCTGCATCGGCTTCGAGATCATACTGAACGTCTCGCTGTGTCTCTTTTCTGTGACTAAAGTTTCCACCCTGAAAAAACTCACAAGTCGCTCACAAATCATGTGTATCTTGCACATGTGCCTCCATCTATGTGCAGTACGTGTGCCTGTGTTTTAAATATACTGTGTGTGTGTCTGTGTGTGTGTGTGTGTGTGTGTGTGTGTGTGTGTGTGTGTGTGTGTGTGTTTGTGTGTGTGTGTGTGTGTGTTTGTGTTTGTGTGTGTGTGTGTGTGTGTGTTTTATATATTGAGATCTGTGAGTGATCAGTACACACCTAACATGTTCACAGCTGTCCAGAGTGCATGCTGGGTAAATTCAATAAGCATAACCCTCCTCTGTCTCATTTTGACCGTTCTCAATCTCCACCCTGTCCTGCCTATTGCTTCCATCACCCAGGATCCAGATCAGCCAATCCCATCAGTGGTAAGGCCTCAGCCTCATCCAATCACAAGCCAGACGTCTCCTCTCTAGCACTCTTGTGTCTAGTGTCGCACGTTGTCCCGTTTTTATTTTAGACTTTAATGTTTGTTTCACATTGTGTAGTAGCAGCATGTTCCACTCATCACATTCAACTTTTTATTTCTGATTACTTCCCCCTACAGTTTGAGAAGCTGTTTGGAGTTGGACATGTCTGCCGTCAGCCATTTTTGTTGTCTTTGTTTTCACTGTTGACACATTGTATGTTCCCACTGGTGACTGGTGCCACAGTAAATGTCTTCCCCACAACACAGTTAGCTAGAACGTAGATCCAGCCCCCCACCCTGTGTGTGTCTAGGCTGTTACATCTGTATTTGTTCATCTGAAGACTCAAGTTTAATTTTTATGAAGTTCTGTTGCTTCTCACTTTTGTACTGTCACAAAAATAGTATTCATTCACCTTCAAATATAGATTTACCCTCAGTAAAATTAGAAAAAAACATAATGATATGTAACATAGCATTTAGTCTGTTGGAACACGGCTTGTTAAATTTGATTAATTAGTCCAAGCATGTTATTAAAGGTTGTCCCACTCCTCTGACCGTCCCCCAGCCACTCTGAATCTCGTCTAACTATGTTAAATTTATTTTTTTGTCCTCTCTCCCCACCAACAGCCGGCAGTCGCTCCAGCTCTCCAGGCAAGCTGCTCGGCCACAGCAGCTACGGCCGGATCCCTCGAGCCACGGCGTCAGCTTCCACCACGCCAGCCGACAAGCGCAGCAGGATCCCCCGCAGCCAGGGCTGCAGCCGCGAGACGAGTCCCAGCCGCATGGGTCTCGGTAAGGCCAGGACTCACGTGGCTCACACCAGTCACTCTCTGTCTTTAGAAACTGGGTGCTCTGGTTCTGCAGGACGACTGTTTGTGTGGTATAAGAATTACTCTGACTTAGAAGAGCTGAAGAAAGCTGTTTTTAAACCATATTTCATTCTTAGACAAGGTGTACTACAGTGTTCCTTTAAGTCTTCTGTTTTTTGTCAAATCACAAGACCGGACTCAACAAGGAGGGTGACACTGATTGGTCACATACTGCTCATCATTGACCACTCAGGTGTCACCACACAGGACATGAACACATGTACTGATAAGTGACATGAGTTGACACAGGATTATGTCAGAAACGAGTGAAGCTGCAATTTATTATCTGAACTCCCTGACAAAGAGAGAAACTCATGTTTACCTGTATACAGCACTGCAGCACTCACACACTGTATCCTGGACACACACACACACACACACACACACAAAAACACACACACTAGTTGATGGTTTTCACTGTTGGCAGTTCATGTGTAGTTCCTGCCCTCAACTCATCATTCCTCACAGCTGTAGTTTGATGTGTGATTGGTTGAGAGGGAGCGGTGGTTATGGGTGTTGTAGTAGCACAAAAACATCTGTGTCCAGTGATGAAACTGAAACTGAGGTTAGAAAAATGACTGTTTCTGTTTGTATAGTCTTCACCTTTAGGGTTAAATCACATCGCTGGCTGACATTGACTGTGTAGCTCTGTAGATGTCAGCATCTGATGTAGATACCAGGCTGAGTCAGACCTCTACAGACCGTCTGCTTCAACATCTGTGTCCTCGTTTGTCAGGGTTTGGTTGATGGTCTTCTCTAAGAGTCCGGCTGCTTTTTGTTAAAGTACAGAAAACTAGTTTCAATAAGAGGAGATGCTGAATGTTTCTGATGAATTTCAGATCCCTCAGTTTGCCTTTAGTCAAAAGAAATGAATTATCAATATGTACAGGTTTGCATGATTAGAAGTTACTCTTCTTGTTCCTTAATTACTCATCTTGATGTGTTACATTTGTATTATGTAAGCTACAAACAAAATAATCTTTTTTATGTGTCTAATCTTTGTCACATGTCAGAAGCTTGAGTTGTTCTTGTGTCCAGACTGTCTAACCTTTAACTAGCAGGATGTTTTTTCACCAACTCACTCACCAGCACTCTGCTCAGCCACCGCTTCTTTCTGTTTTACCGTTCTCCTCTCTTCACGTTTATCCTTCATTATCGCTCAGTCCTTTATTTCGCTTTGTCTCTTTATATATTTTAGCCCCATTAGCAGCAGGGTCCTAGGACAATGTCAATCAATTGTTTGTCAGTCAGTCAGTTGACTGTGCAACCCTTCACACTTTTGTTTTTTGGCAGGATTGCTAACAAAAGTTTTTGTTTTTGTCATCTGTGGAAACAACCCCCAAGTTTTTTTGTCTTTCTTTCTTCCCAGAAAAAAACACTTGCCTCTCAGGGCTTGTTTTCACAGATGAAAAAAACAAAAACTTAGAAAAATGATCCTGGCAAAAAAAAAAAATGTTCACTTGCCTCTATATATATATATATATATATATATATGTATATATATATATATATATATGTGTGTATAAATGTGATTGTCATGAATTTTGTCATGAATTTTGTTGAGCACATTCAGAGAATGAAACCTTTGAATTTTGGACGGTCTCTCATATTACCTTTTGCATAAACTAATGATCATAAATTAAGGGACAAATTGCCATTAAATTTGCTGACCACAGTCCTGTCACCAAGCAAATAAACCTTTTAGATGTTACAGATTTTTTCAGCCTTTTCTCCTTATGCCACCGTAGCACCAACACAGACAGAGCTTTTAGAGTAGCAAAGTCATAATTTTTAGTTCATTCATTGCCAAACTTTAATATTATTGGAAGTAATGAACAGGCCTCCTACAGAGCGTCATCTCTCATAACCTCCACTTTCTCCCTCTTCTTTTTCTCAACTTCACCCCCCTCCACGAATGCATACTGACATTCCCACCTAACTTGTTGTCCTGACAGCCAGCCTGTGTGGTAAAGCTCTTCTTCCTGCTGCTCTTCCCTACCGCACGCTAGCCCGGAGCCGCATTCCCCGTCCCAGCATGAGTCAAGGTTGCAGTCGTGACACCAGTCGCGAGAGCAGCCGCGACACCAGCCCCGCTCGGGGCTTCGCTCCTCTGGGTGAGTACTGCTGAGCTCATAGCTGGATTAGCTGTTCCAGCCCAGAGAGTCCCACATGGACCATCCTCACCTCCCACTCTTTCTACTGTTGTTGTTTGTGTTCAGTGTTGTTCGTTGTGGCCTCTCTGCCTCTGCCTGTCTTTCTGTGCATGTACTAACTGAGTCTCTGTAGGTTTAGGGAAGATTACTGTTGTACGTGGTGGACACAACTTTTGTTTTTTTTTTGTTTTTTGTTTTCTACAGTGATGTTACTTTGTTGTTTATACCAAGTATCAAAATGTTCTTCTCCATTTTGGTCTGTTTTAAGTTGGATTCATGTGTTTGAATTGTCTCTGAATGAACCTGTGTACATGTGGTGGTTTTAAGTGCCATCATTAAAGACTGAAGAAGACAAAGAAGGAGAAGTAGAAGCAGCAGTTGACAGTGCACTGTGAGCATTGAACAGCAGCTGCTACTGTGGTTCTTGTGCTGTGACATCCTGGGACGCGATGTTATAACTTTGTGCTCATAACTTTATCATCAAGGAATCTATAAGGCATTGGTGGTCAAACTTAAGGGCTGTCAGTGCTGTTTATTTTAATTATATATACCGTTTAGTGCATACACATGGACAGTATGGATGTAGATATATTGACAAGTGATATTAGTTTACAAAACATGTAAGGACACAGACATGTAACAGGAGACAGCATTTGAAGAAAGGAACATTGACAACAGCAACAACAAAAAAAATTTAAAAAGGAAAGAAAATGTGTTTGGGTGCTTTTCAGACAAGCTTTGCAGGGTGGGTTTAGTTAAGTGTTATTAATTCTTTCTATTCATAGATAGCTAGCTAGATAGATAGAGTACATACAGTGGTATGAAAAAGTAAGTGAACCCTCTGGAATTACATGTATTTATGTATAAATATATCTTAAAATATGGTCTGATCTTCATCAAAGTTACAAACACAATCTGCTTTAACTAAAAACACACAAATTATTGCTTTGCTGTCAGTGCTGTTAGCATAGCATAGGCTAACTGCTTATGGGTTGCTGGTTTTGTTGTTTTTATACACCATCAGTTTAAATGATGGAGGTTTTTTTTTTTTTTTGGTTAGGTGATGTATGTATGTGTGATGTATACACATTTTGAGTCTGTTTGGCCCCCTCCTTATTTTAGATTTCTTATTTATCATGAGGGACAAGGTGGTGGAATGAAATGCAGGATTCAAGAATCATGGGCCGCCTCCTTCGTATATCCAAATGTAATTCATAACCTCTGCAATGTGACTTTAGTCCTGGACTCCCTGTAAAGGCTGAGTCAGGCTCCTTCACAATAAGTTTTGGTTTATAAAAAAGCATCAAACTCGATGATGTAATGAGCAGGTGTATTGTTGATCTTCCTTTCAGAAACACACAGTAAAAGAACGGCATAAATATCAACACAGACCGTACCATTTTATTGAGACAGGAACAAAAACATAAAAGCAGAAGTCCTGTGATGTGTGATCTTCAGTGTGAAAATGGAGTCTGAGTCTCCACATTAGAAGTTGGTGTTTAACCTGTTATGTGAGTGTGTGTGTCACTAACCCCCCGGTCTGGATGTTGCCCACCTCTCCTGTCCCCTGCAGCCTCCCGACGTCACTCCCGTTCAACCAGCGCTCTCTCCACAGCCGACCCCCACGGCCAGTCAGGTGACCTGCATGCTCAGACCCAGCCTCCCAGTCCCTCTAGGCCCTCCCGACAAAAAAAATAATTACCTGTCTCAGAGGCAATAATGCCGAATGTACCAGCATGCCTCTGCGGTCGTATTCAGTCATGTGACTCCATCATTCACTTCCTTTATTTTCCCTCCATCCAAAGTATTTTTGGAGCATCTCATTTAGTATTTAAACAAACAGGAAAGGTGCATTTGTTTAGCATGTGTAGGGAAACATTACATTTTCATCTGCCTGACCTTTGATCACCACTTTATATCTTCAGTGCCTCATACATACCTTATTCATTTTAGCTTGTGGACTTGTCATGTACAGGCTTTGATGTGCTGATTCGGTTCATCTTTATTTGTTGTTTGCTGCCACTTTGTCTTTTGAGTTCTCAGCCATGTCTCATTAAGCAGCCTGTGGTTTGTTTGTAGTTGAAGTAGATTTGTGATTGATGTTTTTTATTTTCTCCCAGGAGGAGCTGGTTTTGTTACGTTTGTGTGTTATACCTGCTGCCATCTGGTTTGGTCATGCTTTGAACTTTGAACTTCGTGCCTCTGTTGTTTTCATTTCTAACATATCAGCTCATATTTGTGTTTTTTCCTCTTTGGTGCATCCTGGGTGATTTCTCTCAGGGAAACAGTGTAGCTGCAGTGATTGCCTGTGTCTGGGTTTTTCATTTGAAATGTTTGTTTTCATTTTGCTTTTGGTGGTTGGATAATTGAACATATACCCTTTTTGTTATCTTTTCAGCTCAGTCATTTACAGTATATTTCTTTATATTCAAATGTTTCTAAAGGAAATAGTTTCTCTGTAAACTGTAAGAAAAGCAGCCTTTGCTTTTGTCTATTCAGGTAAGTTACAGTGACTCTTTTACTTTGTTACTGAACCTTACTCATCATCTTTGTTTCTCCCTTTACCCTTTTCTGTTCCCACTTCCTGTCTAGACCGATACGGTTTGATTCATCAAGCGAGAATCTCAGCATCAGTCAACGCCATGAGGGTCCTTAACACTGGCACCGAGGTGGAGGCAGCAGTTGCTGATGCTCTGGTAAGTTGATGTGGAAGTCTGACTTCTGTTATTCAGTCTGTCATTTTTGAGAGGACGATGTATTTAAAGCAAGATTTTCATTTAGCATTTGAAATATGTGTTTGAAATAATTGAACTGCTTCCTCAGAGTTGGGTTGCAACTGTCTCGTCCTAGCTAACTGAGACCACCAACTCTATGTGAGGTGGTAAGGTTTAGGTTATGAATTAATGTGTAAAGTTTCCCATTGCTGCTTAAAAACAGCCTTGCAAAGCCCTTTTGCTTCTTTTCAAACATGAAAAAATGAGATGACTGTGGCTGAAATGTAAACTCATCTACCAATGTCAGTTTCCAGACTCATCATTTCTTTTATATCTATAAAACATAGTTAAGTTAGCTGCTTAGTTCAAAGTTCAAGAGGTTTCAAAAGACACTCACACTGTTATTTAACTATTCTCCAAAGTGTGTATTATTGTCCTTCCACTCACCTGTCAGGCTCAGAGGATTCTGACTGAACATTTCCCGGACTTTAATCCCATAATGGAAACTGAATTCACAAAACACAGGCCAGTGTTATAAGATCAGGGCCTTAGATCTTTGATTTGGAGAATTAAAGGTTTTTTATTCTTTGACTGTCAAAAACAAGAAAGAAATTTCTGTTCATATGTTACAAGGTTTGAACATCCTGAAGCCTAAGAAATCCACGTTGTTTACACAAGTTTACTGATAGGATTTTAACCCTAAACCTCACACCGCTAAAATATAAAATGTCTAGTCTTGTCCTGTTTTGCAGACCCAGCAGAACTGTACTTGGTCTTTGTTTCTGCGTTAAAACCTTCCCTCTCTCCTCTTTCCCTCTCGGTTGTTTGATACCATTTCAGCTGTTAGGAGACTCCAGGAATAAGGTAGTTGGTCATTTTACGTACTGTTTGTGTCTCCATGCCGTCACGCACTAATCAAGTTCAGAGAATATTAATGCAGCTTGGCTCATTATATTGGCTCATGACTCCCCTCCCCCCCAAACCCCTTTTATTGATTTATTAATTTACTTTTAAATGTAGTTTTACCCTGAATGTGTATGTCCGTTGCATCTCAGATGTGTGCATCTATGGTACCATAGCAAAGATCTTTTTTTTTTCACATTGTCATGTTAATGTGTTGAACCTCGTTGTTTTGGTACATTATTCATACATGTGTGTTTTTTTTTAATTTCCATGACATGAAATAAGCTCTAGTGTCCGAAGCCTTTCCCTCTGCACTGCATTCATAGTCAAGACCTTTGCTTACTTGTGGCACTGCTTAACTGGCTTTTGATGTTCATTTAAAACAAAATTACTTGTTTAATTTTGTAGACCATAACTGATAAAATTAACATCCATAGGATAAAACATGAGGTGCACATTTCACAAAACAGACAGAAAACTGCATGGCTACCTGAGCAACTGGAGTTTGCACTTTCCCTGCGGAGCTTGGTTAACACTTAGCTATCGCACCGTGTCTCTTACAGCTCCTTCGTGTTGTTCTTTCCTCCACAGAGGAAGCCACTGAGGCGGAGGTACGAATCGCCAGGGATGTACTCCGACGACGACGCCAACAGTGATGCGTCCAGCGCCTGCTCGGAGCGCTCGTACGGTTCAAGAAACGGAGGTATTCCCCATTACCTGCGCCAGACGGAGGATGTGGCGGAGGTCCTCAACCACTGCGCCAGCTCCAACTGGTCAGAGAGGAAGGAGGGGCTGCTGGGTCTGCAGAACCTCCTCAAGAGCCAAAGAATACTGAGGTGGGAGTGAGCGCATGAGTCTCAGCCTTGGTGACTAAACATAATGCCAGAATGGAATTGTGACCTTTGGTACTGTGTGGCCAGCTTGTTCAAGCGTGACCAAAGCAACTCAAAGAGACTGTAACAGTAGCCGCAGTAGTTTCCATACTTGTCAATGTGAACGTACTTATGCACTCAAAACAGCAGGAGTGAGTATGGAAATGTGTGAATTGAGACACAGCAGAGGAAATGGCTGCGATGGAGCTGCAGGGCCTGGACTGCTGTGGGTTTTGTGATCGTCTGAGCTTTAATGGGATTTTAAAGGAGGAAATGATCGATAGCAGCTTCCTGAGCTCTTCAGATGAATGACAGAATGTAAATGTCAACCTCTGCTTTTTAGGAGTCGTGTTAGAGGTGATCAATGACATGATTTCTGTATTTTAACCTGTTGTCATAAGATGCATAATAATCATTCTGATTTTTTGCTTGGTTCTTTTTGTCCACTGCAGCCGAGTAGAGCTGAAGAGACTTTGTGAGATTTTCACGAGGATGTTTGCAGATCCACATAGCAAGGTATAGAAGATGCATTTTACCATCTAAAGCATTGACTAATTCTGACTTATGTGTAAATGCATGGAGTCCAAAAACGGCAATAAATGCTGGAGCTCATGTAAAACATACTTGTATGACTCATTTGATACTAATGGAGTGTCTTCTGTTGCATGGTCTGCCTTGCTGTGGATTTAACAACAGAGAGTAAGTGTGCAGTTCAGTCCATGTTACTACACACACATGCATTAACCAAAATCTGAAATTAGCATTAAATCCAAAGTAAGCAGTGGAGTGTAATAAATGTTTGAACGCGTCCTCAGGTGTTCAGCATGTTCCTGGAGACTCTTGTGGACTTCATCACAGTGCACAGGGAGGACCTGCAGGACTGGCTCTTTGTCCTGCTCACTCAGCTGCTGAAGAAAATGGGGGCAGACCTGCTCGGCTCCGTCCAGGCCAAAGTCCAGAAGGCCCTGGATATCACAAGGTCAGAAACACATGCCAGGTCACAGAGCTAAGATAAATGGATGAGGGCAATAGTTCACCCCATTTGAAATAGAGAGACAGAGATTTTTACCCATTTTGTGTGTGTATGTGTGTGTTGTTTTTTTTTGTTTTTTTTTTGTTGGTTTGTACAAATTAAAACCTAAGTGAGATCTATTTGAAAGACACATGACCTCCTAAGCTTCTCAGTCAGTTGCTCACTCAGTAGTCAGTGTAAACTCAAGCTTGTTCAGTAATGTTTCAGCAAATGAATCACAGTCTAATATCAGGGAGAAACTTATCTTGTCTATGTCTCTGTCTGTGTCAGGGAGTCGTTCCCGTTTGACCAGCAGTTCAACATCCTGATGAGGTTCATCGTCGATCAGACTCAGACACCGAACCTCAAGGTAAAGTAAACCGAGAGACATTGATTCTTCTGGATTTTGATCAGTCAGTGTGAGTAATGCAGTTTTAGGAAGACGTGACCGAATGTTTGTCGACTCCTCAGGTAAAAGTGGCCATTTTGAAATACATCGAGTCCCTGGCTCGACAGATGGACCCGACGGACTTTGTGAACTCCAGTGAGACGCGTCTGGCTGTGTCTCGCATCATCACCTGGACCACAGAGCCCAAAAGCTCCGATGTCAGGAAGGTAGGCCGACCCTATTTTCTAGCACTGAGGGGAAAGAGGAAATCTCTTGGCCTTAAAAATGAATAATCCTCCAGACCTCTTGGGTCATTCTTTACCCCCCTTTTTTGCATATAATTTTATTTTATATTAATATTTTAAGTAGGATGCATATATTTAATATGTTTTTAATGTGATTGGAGAATATTAATGTTTTATTTTAGTTTTAGGTCAAACGAGGTCTGATACAGGACATTAATCCTAATGGTGCAACATCATAGTTTTAAGGTTTAGATTCCAAGGATATTTCAGTTTAATGAAAAGGGGACACATTAGAACTCACATCAAAGCCATGTTTTCTTTCCTGATTTTTTTCTTTGCCTCAACACCAGCGCTGGAAGTTATGCCATACTAAACTGTTATAACTGCATTACAAGTAGGTGAAATAGCTTATTGCAAAACTAACTGCTTCAGTATAAAATTTCATAAAGCAATGTGAAATATTTAATTGTAGAACAGATCTGCCATCCGCAAATTATGACATTAGCTTGTCAGAATTTACTCCACAGCCAGTGGCACATTGTTTACCTCCACGCTGTAGTGTCTGTAATGTTTTTCTTTAGAAGCAGTTATAAACTTTGATAATAGGCCCTCTCCGTGTGGACGGCCTTGGGTCAATGGCCCATTATCTTCCCCTTGTCTGATGCGCGTCACATGTGTCCCCTTCTGTTTGTTTTTCCACCGCTGTTCTTCCAAGTGAAATCCTCACCTAATTTCCAACCAGGGCCTCATGTCCAGGACGCTGAAATTAATAAAACAGTTTAGTCTTTTTTCATGAGTACAAATATGTGGGATGGTCCACACTGTGAAAGATTGATGAAGTATTGCCAAATGTGATGGTGGAGGACCTGTGTCATGCTGTAATCCCCGTTCTGCCCTGCCACTGTGCCCCAGACCCTTCATAACTGGGTGAGCGAGGAACTAATTGGCAGGTCCAGTACCGCAGCCTTACTGTCCACTGAGGGCAACCAGGAAGAGAGGTGTAAGCAGGTAGAGCCCGCTCCAGCAGCCAATCACAACACGACAAGCACGCACTGCCCTGCCTGCCCGGTGCCTAACCACCAACCTTCAGGACTGTGAAAACTTTAGTGTGGCATCTCTCACTCACCCTTTACCATTTATGCTCCAGCTATTCTGCTGTAACAACCTAAACAGTCGGTCTGTGTCTTGCAGTTTGATTTGATCGCTCACCAAATACATGAAGCTTGTTGTGCAATGAGACGTAACTGATTTTCAAATCACAGGAAAGGCTTGTTGCTTTGTATGAATGGACTTTTGAGGCAGTTTAATTGCTGAACATTGACAGTGATGCTGTTTTGTTACTACTGTGTGCCTAACACATTGTCTGTTTGAATCACCCTAACAACCTCTCATCACCTGCATACCTGCATGTTGTTAACATTTAATTTTCCTGCAGTAATATAGTTTCTAGAGAAGACTTTGAAAATATAGTAGTTTTATATCTTTATGCATTGTGTAATAGCTATAGCTTTAGTATAACTGACACTATACATGCTTACATTTTGTTGAGTCATTTGTCCCAAGTAACATATTCAAAGGCCGTAGGAATAAAACCTAGATGTCATAAAAAATTAGAAGTCTTTTACTGTCATTAAACTCAGTTCACCTTTGATCTGAATGAAGAGAACTTGAAATTACCATGAAATATTTATGAAATATATTCAGTATACTGACACACTTAAAATCCCACTTGATCTTGCAGGCCTGGTACACATGCAGTATTTACAGTATTATCATTATTTTTCTTGTAATTATTTTCTGAGTAATACCTCAGTCATACCAGAACACACAGACATCATCACGTACTGTTGAAATCGGCAGAACTCAGCTCTTTCCAGTCATGTTAGTATCTACGGCGTCACTAGAAAGTCTGTTCAGAGTAAAGATCCACAAACAGATGTTTCTTATAACCTCACTTTTATTACATCGTACATCCATGGTTACGGAAGTCAGGAACTGCTGGTTGTTAATGACACATGACTTTTCATGGTGCAGGGTCACCAAAATTTACGCCACCTGAAGCATGAAGGGAACCCTGTTGGCAGTCTCAAAACATATTATGACAAAAAGGAAACCACCAGGAGAAACCCATTGTATGGCTTTGTGTTTATAGCAGCCCTATAAATGCAAATCTCACTGACTGACTGAGTGATGAAGTTACACAATTGGTTAAGTGTTGGAGTTTCCTCATTGCTTGTTGCTCTTTCAAAATAATTTAACAAGAACAAGCGATGTTGCCAAGTTAACCCCTTATTTGCTAGATTAACTGAATTTTCAGATCCCTTTACGGACATCTTGTCAAAAAAGCGACACCTCTAGCAACTTTTTGGACAAACCTTAGCTACTTTCTGTAGAAGAAAGTCATCAGTGTAGCCCTGTTAGCATGAGGTCGGACCGCATGGCAGCTGACACGAATGAGCTTCTAACTTTCACTCTTACTGATGATTTTACAAGTGAATATAGTCAAAATCACAGCTCAGTCTTTGTCTTTAACTGGTGTGTTTGGTCATGTTGTCAGACGACTTTGTGGTTATAATATCAGGATTTCCGCAGCAACAGAGCAGCAGTTAGGAAGTGTAGTTCAGCTGTATTAAAATACTGTATATATGAGCAAAGAGAGGAGGAGATCGACTAACGCTAGGCAGGATGCACACATGACGCAGTCCAGCCATATACTAGTCTATACTCGACCTAGTCTTGTTTTGTTTCTTTTATATCTAGTGACATGTGCCAACAAGTCTGTAAATATAAATGTTAAAACCAAGCAAAACCAGCTCAGGGTTAACAAGTCACTGTAGCTTTCAGACCAAGTCTGATTAGTTTCTGTCTGAATGCAGTATACTGCTCTGTGAATAACCAACTTCCACCCGCCCAACAACAGAAAACTACTACATTAGTTTATCTCTACTCACTTGCATGTTGCAACACTATTATAGCAACAACATACAATGGACTTGAGTAGCTGTGTGCCAAATTAGTTTTCCACTGAATGCAGCTTTGAACACTCACCTTTTAACACGTTTCTTTCTACAGGCTGATGCACTGTGGAGCAGAAAAGCTGGTTTCCGTGGTTCAGAATTGTTTTGGCCTTTATGACTATTAACCTTTACATCAAATTGGTCTTCCATGGTTTTACAGATGCAGACCATGTGGAAAGTTGCCAGAGCAATTCATAATTCAGCCATGACCTGTACTTTTTGTGCTTTATATTTTAAAAATGTTCTTACTTACGCCTGACTCACTCTGGTCAAATAGCAGTTTGTAACACGTGGTCAAGATACCTCTGAAACCAAGGAAACCATCTGAACTTTATACTCTCTTGTGGCCTCCATGCTAAGCTGTTGTGCTTCACGACCTCCAGGCAGCCCAGGTAGTGCTGATCGCCTTGTTTGAGCTCAACACCCCAGAGTTCACCATGCTGCTCGGAGCTCTGCCCAAAACCTTCCAGGACGGAGCCACCAAACTGCTACACAACCACCTGAAGAACTCCAGCAATACCAGCAGCAGTGTGGTGAGTGAAGTGAAACATTTGGACTGAGCCGCAACCTCCAGGACTGAAAAATGAAGCAAAAAGCCGCAGTTCCTCTAATGATCACTAGAGTGTGGCTCCAATAGCGAGTCAATCCCCATAGACTCCCATGTTAAAATGTCCAACTTTACAGCACAAATAAACATGTTTACAGCCTGGTACAAAAAACAGTTTTCGTCTCTAGAGCTAATTTCCTCCTTCATGACACCGGTACAGGGTCCCATATAGTATACAGGTAAATGTCCATGTGTCTTTGATACTTATACATTATTGATATAGAACCTAGACCTGCTTTATAATCAAAGTGCTCAGTCCACAAAGAAATGCACACAGCCTGTATTCAGAGACTGAGCCTTAAAACTGGCCCTTTAAGACTTAACCTCTTTGAGTGACAGGTTGGCGAGTGTAAGTTTGCCAGAAACCAGCATTTTTGGATTAACTGGGAGTTAGGTCGAGTCAGAAACTGCCAAGAGGGCGATGGTGGAGCAGCGGTTTTGAGTAGCTTCAAAACCGCTCTTCAGAAACCTGTGGGTGACGTCACAGAGGCTACGTTCATCCATACATACAGATATATACATTCTGTGAAACAGACCCTCAACTCAGATGAAAAATGATGTATCACTGTTAGAATCATCAGACAGCAGCGTCAACAGGTTCAGACTTCATCATCGTTTCCTTGCCTTCCAGGGGTCTCCAAGCAACACGATTGGACGGACTCCGTCACGCCACACCCCTAGCAGAACCAGCCCCCTCACCTCCCCAACAAACTGTTCTCACGGAGGACTCTCTCCCAGGTAGCTAATTGCCGATCTGCTGTTAATCTGTTATCAACAACACACCTCCTGTCCTAATGCATGGAGTCGAGCTAACGCACAAACCTAACAGGCAGGTTGATGGAAGCATGGTACTGAGTGAGCTGCTCAGAGAGAGATCAGCTTATTTAGGCAGGAATAAAGAAGCCAAATCATTATTTTTCTCCAAACAATACAACTTAGAAAGCTTGTGGCCTATTCATAAGATATTTACTGGCTGAGACACGGTTGTTGCTGTGAAATATGATAAACAGGCTCTTTGAAGCTGTCACATACTGTATAAGCAAGGTTATAGTAGTTTTGGATTTTTCATTAGTTTTTATTTTTATTTTTGTTTGTTTGTTTGTTTTCAATTTCCATTTAGTTTTAATTCATTTTTAAAGCAGGTTTGCTCATTTAGTTTAGTTGAAAATGCTCCGTTTTAGTGTAATTTTTATTAGTTTCAGTGTTAATTTTAGTTTTTTGTTTGTTTTTTTTTTTAGTATGGGGGATTTGTTGGGGGCTAGATAAAAAGGTCAGAAAAAGTATTGTGTAATAACAACTCAACAAAATATCAAACCATTTAAAAAATGTTGGAAAGATGAACAGCCATTCACAAAAGACAACTTTAAAAGATGTGTGTCGTAGATGCTGCAGCTTTATGGCTCATCATTGCAGTTAATTAACAATAAAATACTTGACATTATTAATACAGCAAATGTTTTGGATACTTTAAGTGAACATGTACTGGTCGTACTCTGAGAACCACACAGCTGTAAGATACTGCTCCATCTGGCACAGCTGAAAAATTAGAGGGCAGTTTTTATTGCCACCCAAAATACCTATAGGCTTATGTATGACATAGATTGAAAAAAAAAGAAAATTAAAGACATTTTCTCTATGTCTTAATTCTTAATTCTTCTTAATTCTCTAACGTTAATTTATTTTAGTTAGTTTTGTAAACACACAAAAGAAAGTTTCAGTTATCTTTTTTTATTATTTATAAAGCCTCGTTTTTATCATTATTTCAGTTAATGAAATTTTTTTTTCACATCAAGTTTTTGTTATTTAGTTCATTTTAGTTAACTTCCATTAACCTTGTATATTAGGCTGTTATATAAAATCCCTAAAATATCTGCGACTGAGCAGCTCACTCAGCTGAATCACTGTACAGTCCTTTTATCTGCAAGCAGAAACCCATGAACTCTGATGGCGGAGATATTGTATTTCCCGGTCTCTGAACCTGCAAAATTCTAAGTGGGAAATGGCCCCTCACTCATGATGAGGATGATTTTTATTTCATGTAAAACTCCTTGTGGGATTCTGCTTCTTTCCACTGCTCTCCTCTAAATTAACACTTTCCTTTAACCTTTAAAGCTCAGACTACTTTCTTTTTCTCTTTTCTCTTTCCGCACACTTGTTTTTCTCTTTCTCTTCCCCTCTCTTGTCTCGTCTTGTCTCGTGGTCTCCTCGTGTTGTCCATTCCCATCTGTCTTGGCCCCCCTACCTCCCACTCTTTTTCTCTCCTGTCTGTCCATCCTTCCCTCCCGGCCGCGCTGTGGCAACAGTCGGTTATGGGGTTGGGGTGTCGACGGACTCTCAAAGCACCCCCCTGCCCCTCCTCCTCCTCCTCCGCCTCACTCCACCCCTGCTGCCCCCTCCCTAAGGGTCCTGCGCAGAGCATATTCACCCAGGTAATAAGGTGGGCTGAGACACACAGGAGATTATGCCCACATAAAGCCAGACCCTCATCCTGATGATTTCGTAATCCAAATTCCCCTTTTCCAGACCAGCTGAGAGGATCTTTATATTCCGCAATTATCTCTAATAATATTTTAAAAAATCATGTTACATTGCTTCAGTAATGTGGTCTGTGTGAAATCCATAATAAACCATAAAAATAAGATTTACATCAGTCAAATGCTAAAGCTCTTACTGGTGGCAAAACAACTTTGTACTTGTATATCTGCTTCTTATACTCAGTTTATATCAATGTTGTGCATGTTTCTCTCTCTCTCTCTGTGTGTGTGTGTGTGTGTGTGTCTTTGTGTTAGCATGATGGAGTACGACACAGAGAACATGAACTCTGAGGAAATCTACAGCTCACTGCGTGGCGTCACTGAGGCCATCCAGAGTTTCAGCTACCGGAGCCAGGAGGACCTGAACGAGCCAATCAGACGGGAGGGCAAGAGGGACGACGCAGTGAGTCACAAGCTTCTCGTCTTCTCACAGCGTTTTCCTGAATCTTGCTGCTCAGAAAAATCACATGACGGCACTGCAGCTGAAAAGAGATCGTTAAAGTGAAAGCAGTCGGTTGCATTTTGAATTCAAAGCTGAAAATTAATTTGAATTTAAATTTAAGAATTTGACCGCACAGTATGTAACTTCTACTGCTCAATCAAAACAATAAACAGCAAAACAGGTTTTGCTTATCCCTTTCTAATATGTTTTCAATGTAAGTGACGACAACTAATCCACAGTCATTGTTGTGCACAAAAAACTATTAAAGTTTATCTGAAGCTAATTTGAGGACTGTATTAACCCTGTTTTTAAACACAAATGTTTTCAGAAAATAAGAAAATTGTTGTATATGGAGGAGTTGGACAACTATAAATAAAATCATGACTGTTAATTATCCACTATCTCACATCCTCTCGCTCTCCACCGACCTTGCTGTGTCGCAGGCCGGGAGAGAAGGAGTAGCGTCGTCTCCTGGTTCTGATGCTCGCCTGGGTTTGGACATGGTGGAGGGAGGTCGCACTGCTTTGGATAACAAAACCTCACTACTCAACACCCCATCCCCACGCTCCTTCTCCGGACCCCGGAGTCGTGAGTTCGCCCCGTACGGCTACGGAGACACCATCTGCTCCTATGACAAGAGCGCCCTGAAGGAGGCGGTGTTTGACGACGATGTGGAGCAGTTCCGCGACTGTGAGTTCACGAGAAAAACAAATCTGCAGTGAGGTGTTGGTTGATTATTGCAGCAGACAGAAATCAATATCACACCACACTGCACACAGATATTTCATAAAGCCGTTTGAGTTTTAGAGGCTTTTTTTTGTTTTGGAACGAAGTGATTTTAATCTGTCGCTCATGAAGTCGCGATTATACAACTTTGCAGAGTGCTTTCAATTAGAAGTGAAGGATACAGGAAGTGGAGACACGTCCGTGCATCCGTGCTCTCACCTGATCCGGTCAGACGTGATGGTCTGTGCACCCGACAAGAGGGAGAGAGGAGAAATAGGAGAGAAAGACTAAGAGGAGAAACAAGATTGTAAAGATTAGCAAACATTCAGCTGCAGCTTCTTATCTTAGTGTAACTCATCCCTGGAGATCTGCATCAAATGTGAAATATCTCCATACACTAGTCTACACCAGACACGATCCAACAGTCCTGACTTTCCCCCGATCATCCCTCCGGCCTCTCTGTCGTCCACCATTCCCTCATTGTGTAACTGACCATGTCATATAAAGGCAGACACACTGCTGCTGTGTGATTACAAGAAATGACCTCCGCCACAAATGTGGCAATAAAATATGTGTAGTTTGCTTTGACTGTTCACTTGGTCAGCTGGCTGATCGTTGTATTTAGAATGAATTTGTTTACCACAGTCACTGGTGTGTATGAGTCTGCAGCTCCTCTGTTGTAAACCAGTCTGTGTGTCAGTTGTTGTCATCACATCCTTTTCCTCCTGTCTCCCCCCTTTTGTCCCCCATCTCCACCTCCATCCCTCCTCCTCCACCCTCCCTCACCCCTCCTCTCCAGGCCGACGTCAGGACAGTGGTGAAAACAAGATGACGCTCCCCAAGGTGTTTGCTCCTGGTAAAGATGCCTCCCCCGCCTTAGTTTTCTCGCTGACTGTTTGACCGACTCGACAACCGCTCGACTGACTAGTTTACTGACTGTACCTTCACTCCACTCACCCTTTGTCTGTGTTTGCATAATTCACTTTGCTCCCTCAGTTCCCATTACTGTTTCTTCATCGTCTTCTAACTTCTTTTACTCCATCTACTCCCTCTGTGTCCAACCTACAGTATGTAGCTGGCAGGTTGATGCTTGTACTAATGGTTGTGGCCTTCACTCTAACGGACACAATGATTGGGTGACTGTAATAGTACATCTAACACGTGAATAACATCATTTTCTAATATGTAGATTTCCACAGCTCCTGAACATAATACATAATATTAGCTTAATCACACTAACATCTATAGTACAGCAGTAAATGAACATGAGTAATTTTGTCCAACCTGACAAAGGACATTTATTATGAAAAAAAAAAGGACACCACACATGAAAACTGAGTTGCACACCAAAGTCTTATCCCTTTAATGTCCAAATTTTGGCTGTGAAATTCAGTTCTGAAATGTGAGCAGTTACTTTTGACATTCATCCCTTAATTAGCCATCAGCTTTACACCATATTCCTCACCCAGAATGCACCACAGTATTAGTCTTGGCATTTCCTGTCATCTTATATTCAGGTGCAAAGGTGCATTTTCTTTCTTGTAAACAAGTGAAAACATGAATTTTTGAACTGAGACTGGTTATACAAGCCATTACTTTACTAGCTAGTTTATTTACATTTAAACCGAGTAACATCAGTTTCTTCTAGTCCTGAAAGAACTGAAGATTGATGTCAGATGAAATAAGTGACGGATGATGCAAAGTTTTGATTGTGTCCGACTCATTAACTTCATTTATTCCTCTCATCCTGTCCTTGGCGAACAGTCGGTCAGGACCACTCAGACCTTGTAGCCGACCTGCTCAAGGAACTGTCCAATCACAATGAGCGCTCTGAGGAGCGTAAAGGCGCCCTGGTGGAGCTGCTGAAGATCACACGAGAAGACAGCCTGGCCGTGTGGGACGAGCACTTTAAGACCATCCTCCTCCTCCTGCTGGAGACACTGGGTGATAAAGATGTACGTGAACTGATGGCTCCTCATGTGACTGTTGAGCGTGTGCTCTATGGAGGTTTGCTAGTTACCATACAGCATTCAGTGGTGGGGTATGGGTTACTGATGTCTCTGTTTCCCCTCAGCACACCATCCGAGCCCTGGCCCTGCGCGTGCTGAAGGAAATTCTGAGGAACCAGCCAGCCCGCTTCAAAAACTACGCTGAGCTTACCATCATGAAGACGCTGGAGGCTCACAAAGATTCTCACAAGGAGGCACGCTGCTCCCGCATCTCCCACATCTCCCGCATGAAAACTCCACACTATTATTATTACTATTTCAAAAATTAAATTATTTCAAAGGTGCATTAATGATAGTTTTCTCAGTTGGGGTCAGTGGAACAAGCTGTTTAAGATGTTATGGATCATATAGATAATATGCCAGCAAACTGTTGCCTATTTGAAAATATACATCCAGCCGAAATGAGCAACATTAACATTTATTTGGAGTCAAGTTTGTTTCCACCTGATGCATCAATGTCCAATAATCACCTCTTTTTTAGATGTGTGTTAGTCTCCACTGACTCCTGAGAACAAGTTCTTTATCAGCTAAATGCTGCTCTGTCTCTCCCGGCTGGTTACTAATAGTTCACAGTTTTTATCAACTTTGAGGAGAGTTTGTGGCTCAGAAAACCAAAACAATGAGACTAAATGGCTGTTGATGTTGAGAGCTGCAGAGCTGTTATAAATCATAAAGTCTTTACAATCTGTTTATCAACATGTGAACAATAATAATAGTTGAACACAGTAACCTCTGACTTTGAAGTCAGGAACATACAGGAGAAACCTGAGGGGTTACTCAGGGTTAACTGCAGAGAAGTCCTTTTACCAGGACGGTCTGGTATAAAGGGAGGTAGTACTGTATTATATAATTATATAGGCTACAGTGGTATTATATAATACTATACTGTATATAAGCTGCTCCTCTGCAAAAGTACTTTTTGTCATATTCATAACTGAATAATGATGATAGAGCTCCACTGCTTCACGTTGTGTTAAAACATTAACAACTCTCTCTGACTCAGGTCCCAGCACACACACACACACACACACATACACACACACACAGACACACATATATATATATCAGTGTTTCCCCTAGAAATTTTTCCAGCAGCAGTGCTGTTGTGCCGGGGTCCATGAGGGTGTGACACCGGCACATATTCAGAATAGCTTCAAATTATTATGCACAATTAATATACGTATTCAGTGTATGACTCACAGAATTTGCTATACATATCAGAGTCCATGAAGACAGAAAGACAAAAACACAATATTTCATCTTTTTCTTCCCACATTATGTGATTCTCAATGTGTGTGTGTTTGTGTGTGTACAGGTGGTGCGTGCAGCCGAGGAGGCAGCGTCCACCCTGGCCGGGTCCATCCACCCGGAGCAGTGCATCAAGGTGCTGTGCCCCATCGTGCAGACAGCCGACTACCCCATCAACCTGGCCGCCATCAAGATGCAAACCAAAGTCATTGAACGCATCGCCAAGGACTCGCTGCTGCAGCTGCTGCCTGACATTATCCCTGGACTCCTACAGGTCTGAGTCTAAAACAAGATGCAGGCTTTTATTTATAAAGAAATAAATTTAGATTGTTATATGTAGAATTTTTTTAATGGATTAGATTAGATTCTTTTAGTTGCTAAGAAAACCTGAAATTCTTTCTCTTTCTTTAGTTCTGTCTGGACACCGGCCTCGAAATTTGATAAACTCACAAAAAGGATAATCCAAAACATGTTTTCAAGAAACAGACAGTTGTTTTTTCTAATTGAACAAGCTTAACTAACAGGAGAGCCGGGGTTTCTGGGGACAGACAGAGCAGAAACATCCTTGTCGGCTCCAAAAGGGCATATTTGGACAATGTGCATATTTGGACACTGAGAATTATTTGCCTTATTTGTCCCTGGAAATGTTTGCGTGTACTCTGCACTCTTTGTGACTCCTCCTACGTTCCTGCTGACACCTCCTGTGTGTGTTTGTTGATGTTTGCTGTTTGTGTGTGTGTGTGTGTGTGTGTGTGTGTGTGTGTGTGTGTGTGTGTGTGTGTGTGTGTGTGTGTGTGTGTGTGTGTGGTGCCTGATGCTGTCTTGTCTCCGCAGGGCTATGACAACACAGAGAGCAGCGTTCGCAAGGCCAGCGTGTTCTGTCTGGTGGCTATCTACTCTGTGATTGGCGAGGATCTCAAACCCCACCTGGCACAACTCACAGGCAGCAAGGTACTGACCACCGCCAGCAAGGTTTTGCATGTCCACATTCTCACACACACACACACACACATACAGTGTTACCAAAACCTCTTCACAGACGCGGCACCTTATCATCTTCCCATGTTGTTATTTCGCAGCTGGTTCTAACTGGTCGTCCTATTATAAAGTGCAAGTTCATATTTGCCCTACTTCTCATTACAACCTGTGTCCTTGGGTTATGTAAGGGTCGAGGTCTGAGGGTCAGCTTCACCTCAATAAAGGGACCCTCCCCTCCCCTAACCACCTCTACCCTCCACCTGTGATCTTTTGAGCAGCTGCTTATCTGAAAGGCGTTTGACACACACAGTGTCGACTGAATGAAGCTGAGGAAGTCGCATTCTCAAGCCGTACAGATCAAACATGAAGGAAAACTGATGAGGAGTTAGGAAAGTGCACTAGAGCAGGGAGCGTTCAAAACACGCTTATTAAGTCATTAATATATTAACAAGTTACAGCGCTGCCTTAACTTAACATTATTTAACACATTAACGAGTGTGGTGCGCCTTTACACCTGCAGAGCCTCTCTCCCGACAACATACAAATATCACTTTTTCTCTTTGAAGTGAGACCAAATGTCCCCCTGGTTTGGTTCATATTGTTTCCAGTCACTGTTTCTTGTCCAGGCTCCTACAGCTGTAGAGTTAAAGTTCATAGTGAGGTCCAGGCGGATGCTGTTGGGGGTGCTTTCATGGGCGCACTGCTGCACAAACTCACCGCTAAGATGTTTTGAGTGCGCAGGAATAGAAATGCGCAGCGCAGATATTCAAAGAGGAACATTTGGATTCTCAATAAACACTGTCACTTTTGTCTTCTCTTTTTTATCATCAAAAATAAAGAGACATTTTCTTATAGTTTTTATTTTAAACTTAATTTTAGTCACCTCTTTTTGGCTGGACTGCAACAGCAGGGACAGCCCTATAATAGTTAATGTTACTGACTGACTGACTGACTGACTGAAAAAGCCAAGATAAGACAAAAGCCTTCAAAAGAAAAAGCAAGACTTTTGTGTCCCCTTCCAAAAGGATAGCAAGGTAAATCTGAGGGCTCATGATATAAACAAGATGGCAAATACAAAAATAAAGTCTGCTACATAAATTGTTTTGTTTTTTTCTGACTTAAACTCTTATCTTTGCTCTTTCCATAGTGAAATACTCGATATTATTACCATTTAAATCAAAGGTCCTCAGCAAACATGATGTGCTGATGTAACATAAACATCTCTTGTCTTTGCTTGTGTGCAGATGAAGTTACTGAACCTCTACATCAAACGAGCCCAAACGACCAACAGCAATAGCAGCAGTTCCTCAGACGTCTCCTCTCACAGTTAATGGAAGGAGGTTTCGTTTGGAAACTGTGGACGGACGGACGGACGGCGTTCCAGGATTTCCAGGGCATAGCCGCACTTCTTTCAGACTCCTCCGTCTTTGAGCTTCCCCTCCTCCTCCTCCTCCTCCTCCTCCTCTTCCTCTTCATCATAACTCCAGCTCCGCTGCGCTTCTCTCCTGTCTCGAGGGGTCCCTGTAAACCTGTCTGTCATTTACTCCCTCCTTCCTCCTCCCCACCCCGCCTCTCTAAACTTTTGAATGTAACTGGATTGGTTTTAGACGGGTGGGGAGGGAATCAACGAGTTTAGAGTTTTTGGATTTGGGAAATGCACTTTTCTCTTCCTCTGTAGTTCCCACACCCTCCACACCACCATTTTTGTCAATGGAGTCCTGTTTCTCCTTGAACCCTCAGATTCGGTAGCATAAGGAGTTCATACATAATACCATGAATTATTATTAATATTATTCACATCAGAGTAGAGAAAATTCTGTCAAATCAGTTTTGGGATGATGTGTCATTTGGCTGGCCCAATGATGGTGATGAGCCTGTAGGTTTTGGGATGAATTCTGGTTCAGGAGCATAAAAACCAAATACTGTAAGAAAAAAAAAAAGGAAACATGCCAGGGAACAGTGTGACATAAAAAAGAAAGTACCATAGGAGCATATTTGGTTCATGTTAAAGTTTGTGGATCAGGGCTCACAGAAACCTGAGCAACTTAATAGATTAAATCCCCCTTTCACAAAATTGATGTTCTACTCAACAAGGTACCAAGATGCTAAAAGAAAGTTTCAGCTACAGAACTGACAATCCTTCAAATGTTGTGCATATCTTTATTTTGAGGTAAAGAAGAGGAAATTGAAGTTGAAGTTAAAGGCTGAATTTGTCGTGAAATTCACAATCAGCAAAGAGAATAGAGGTTTAGCCCAGGAGACGTTTTCACACTGAACTTTTCTGCATTAAGTGGGAAAACAGAGCTTTTTGTTTAACACGCTTTTCACGTGCAGAAGACGCCTACAAGGCTGCCGCTCACTCGAAGTGTGCTGAGTGACTCGGTCTGAAGAGGAAGTCCTTCCTTTGTAAATACTCCAGATGTTTTTTCCCTGTGTGGAATTGGGAGAGAGACCGGAGATCCGAGACAGTCAGATAGACATTACCAGGCCTTATTCACTTCACACACGCTGATGTTTGTTGACTGGGACTTCGGACAGTGAATTCGGATGTACAGCACTGTAACTCTGGGCTCTGAAAAAAAAAAAAAAATGTGAATCTGCAAGAAAACGGACCCTGGTGGGTTTTTTTTTTTTTTTGTTTTTTTTGACGACAAAGCAAATACAGTATTAGTCGTTTCCTCTGATCTCCTCCTTCATGTAACCGCGGCTTTTGCAATAACCGTAAATCCACAAATAAAGGTATTTTGTACATACACTTTTTGACCACTGCTTCGCAAAAATTTTACACTATGTCGAAAAAGAAAAAGAGAAAAAGAAAAGTGAACGGGTTGACTCTCTGACTCTAACTTCTTTTGCACGTTAGCAAACTAGCTTGCATGTAATCTGCAGCACTTGTCAACTTGCTGTTTTGGAAGGACCCAGGGGTTGTTTGTTTTTTTTTGTTTTTTTGGCTGTTAAAGTGCACTTGTAACATCATCAAATTACTCATCTCTGATCTAATGTTTCAGAGGAGTCAGTCACTGACATGCTCATGTGTAAAAAGGTACAAAATGGAGACGACAGCTGTTGAGCAGAACCATGTGTGTGATAGAAGCGCTCAGGCAGGGTTTAAAGAGACTGTACCTCTGAGCAGGACTGAAGTCTGAGGTATCAGAGAGCTTTAAAATGCTGGATTCCTGCTGATTGATCCCTGATTGGAGAGTTTTCCCATTGAATCAGATTTTTACTACTGTAGGAAAAGATCGGACTGTCATTGCCTTTTTTTAAATTCTGTTATCTCGTTTGCTAAATCCTAGAAAATAAATAATAATATAATAGTAATAACGATGATAAGGAAGTATTAGTATTCTAGTTTCACTTGGGGGCTCCCTGAGTCTGTGGATGACCAGCTTGGTGCTGAATCCACTGAATGGGCCAATTCTGGTTATTTAAGTAAATGAATGTACAGTGTTTGCATAATGTTTTAATTTGCTTTTTTATGTATCGGTACTGAAAGTAACTTCAATGACACGCCACCCTGCACACTCTCTGCACTCTGCCTGACTGTCACCTAAATCCCTTGGACAGTTTCAGACCATTAATCAGCTGGGTTTTCGTTTTTATCGGGGCAGATCTGTCGTCGTCCTTCGGGGGAAAGTTCACCAGTCACCAAACCACCACGGTCGCTCGCTAGCATCTCGTATCACATTGCTGGTCCCAGAAACAAGACAAGATGGTATTCCTTGCAAACTGTTCACTATGCATGTTCTGCAGTACACTGTCTTTCTTTTGTCTCAATCGGTCATGTAATATTCATACCTGTATTTATATATTTTATTTTATCTTATTTTATTCTCTCATGATAAACTGTACAGAAGGTTTTTTTTTTTGTTAAAATCCACCTGTGATAGATTTGCAACAATGTAAAGAAACTGTTTGCTCTAGAAATAAACAGACTCAGAGCTAATCTGGATGTTTCCTGATTATTCACCCCACCCCCACCCTCACCCCTGATTTCACAATTTCTAACATGTTACTTCATCTTGTGTGAGATCTGAAACAGTCAATCAAAGCTTGTGTGTGTGTGTCTTCTCCATTCCCCCCCCCACCCTCCCCTCTCAGGTTGAACCTTGACTTCCACAAGGGCACTGGCAACAGTGTTGCCCAGTTGTCCATCCATTTACAGGCACATGCATCCAAGCGCTGAGGTGTGCGTTAGCTGCTCTGTATAAACATTAACCTGGGCATACTTTGAAATGACCTGCTGCTGATCTCTGGTGCTTTTGAGAAGCTCTGAAGAGATGTGGCAGCAGCTGCAGGTGTTTAATCCATTCAAACATGAATATTGAGACTAAAGTGTTTGGTGCGAAGCAAGGTTCATTTAGTATAGCACAGTAGTAATATCCTGGTGTGACATTAAATTACTTCTAATTGAAAGCTGCTTTTATTTTTAAAAAGTGAAATATAACAGCTATCATCATGTTCTTCCCTGACTTACAATTACACAAGATAATAATGATGTTTACAGCTGTTCATCTGCAGCCTTTCTCTTTGTTCCTCAAAACCCATGTTTGTTTTCCAAAATGCATCTCCAAACATCATTACCCTAAGTGAGTTTAAAGTCTAGCTTTAGGGCCATACTGTTAGCAGTGTCAACAGCTGGTCAAGTGAAGCTGCTATTAATGCATCAACCCCAGCTAGACATTGGTTGTGGGAGGTGTGTCTGCAGACTCCGCCTCTCAGGGGTCATACAAGGTATGCTAATGGCAGCCCTGATGATATCACCGGACGGTATAAGAGGCAGGCGTTGAGGTTTGGCTGCAAAATCTTCCTGAGCTGAAATCTGAGGAAGCCAGCAAGTCTGTCTCCACGTCTCCCTGTGGTCCTGGCACACAAGAAGACATCGCACTGGAAAATATGCTGTTCTGCCATTCCCAGCCTGAGTCCTACCACCAGCACTCTGCTAGTTACATTAGGTAAAGCACGGCCATGTCGAGAAGCTTCAAACTTTGTGGAATTTTCAGGCACTTGTTATATCTACAACAGGTTGAGTCAAAGTGTCAGTGCAAAGCAGCAGTGACAGTTACTTGCACAAGAATATATGGAGAGAAGTGGAAATGCTCTAATGGCTAAAAGTTCATTTTTAAAATGTGCACATTTGCAGTAATCTCCCTCAAGGAGCACATTTATGTATTTTATTATTATTGATATCAACTGTTGTGAAATTCAAATTTTGAATTGCATTTCAGTGGTTCATTTTAAAGGAGCGTTGCGTTCAAGATCCACATTTAGACTTCAAATACAGATCCTAAACACTGCTTTGTTCTCTTTTTCAAATGAATACACATGAATTGTTCTAGATGAGTCACGCTGTGTTTTGCAACATTAAAGTTTTGCACCTTTGTTCCTTTGATTAAGTTGATTGTATATAAAAGAAAACAGGACAGTTTTCCTCTCCATGTTCAGCCCGTCTTCTCTCCTGCTGGTCTCTTTCAGAGAGGCCTTGGCGCCTTTCTTGAAAAACGAAGAAGCCAGGCTTATGGCTGAAAATGGTGCAAAGAGGACCCCATTCCAGTACATTCTGTGTGCAGCCACCTCGCCGGCTGTGAAACAGCAGGAGGAGACTCTCACTTATCTCAACCAAGGTAGCTATCTGTCCTGCTAGTTGAATGTCCACATTGATAAAATGGACTGGAGCTCATTTTGTCACATGTAATCCCAGCAGCTGCAGGGGTAGATAAAGACTGCTGATGTGGGATTTCTAAAGATTAGTGTAGATCTTGGTAAATTAAGCCACTTTCACTTGAATTAATTGTGATTTGGGACCTTGAAATTAATTTAAACACATGTCCAAAAGACAGTTTATTTGCCTAATGAGCTTTATCATATAACAAAATAATCAATTCCAAACTCCAGTTGCAGCTCTAGATCACAACATCAAGAACATCAAGTTTAATTTGTCTCCCACTATAGAAGCAAAGAGGCCAATATAATTATAACTTAATTAGCTATTTTTTCATTATCAATTAATCTTCTGATTAATTTCTTGCTTAATCTATAAAATGTTAAAACATTGTGAAAAATACTTGTTTTGTTTGAGAGTCTAAGATATTCAATTTCTTGTCATACAAAAAAGAGGAAATACCCCATTTGATATTGATATTAATTTTCTGTAGCTCGACTAATAGACTGATCAACAAATCATTAACCACCACTGATTACATTCAAATTTCAATATTAGGTATATTTAATTAAGTTTATTTAAATATCAAGTAAAGTATTGAAATCTATCTGGATTTATGTGGTGTGAATTGCCCTCTTTGAAGGTAGAGTACACAGAGTAGTGTCTGAGGTCTTTCTGGGATCATGTGACTGACAGGACATAAGCTTGAATAAAATCAATCAGACCTCCGTTGTATCAGATTGAGTGATTTCTCTTGGTAGCGGTAGTGTCTGAACTTAAGTAATACAGTTACAATACAATACAGCAAAGCTGCTAGTATTTTAAGCTGGTTTGAATTTTTCAATCAGAATATGATGGTATAATAAAATCTATATTTTTAAATGGTGAATGCTTTACTTTCCTATTTGAATTTGTGAACCCTTAAAAACCTTCAAATCAAATTTTTGAAATCAGAAATTTTTTAATGTGGTAGTTCAAACCACATACATTCAGACAGATGGATTTCAAAGTAAAACATTTCAATACTAGTATTTAAATTTTGACATTAATATTCAGAAGTGTATAAATTACACCATTAGGGATTTACTTGCTTAAAAATGAATGTATTTTGGCCATTTTTTGTTTCCATAGATTTCTATCATAGTAGACACTTGTTAATAGTAATATATAGAGTAGGCTGCCCTGGATTATGTGAATGGTATAAACTTTGCCTTTAAGCCTTTTGAATTACTAAACTGCAGAAATCCCAGTAGTAAGAGTTGACAGGCGTTATAATTGAATTCATTAATGATTTACGTGTGCAACATGAGCTCCTACATTTTTGCTAAATTGTCTGACTTTCATCTTCTAATGTAATTCACCTTCCTTTCTTTCTTTTTGTCCTTTCTCTCTTTTCCAGTTTGTACTTTCCCCTTTTACTTTAGATCATTGTCTACTTCTGACTGTTTCCTTTTCTCTTGTTGAACAGTGACAATTTTTATTTGTGCTTTGATTTACCTTTATGTTTCTACCCTGCTTGTCTGCTCTGAAGTAATTTGTTTGGAGTGAACACAATGAACGTGAGCTTGCTGTAACATGCAACTTTTGGCCATCGATGTAGAGATGGCATGTATTGATAAGAAGTTAATTGTCATCAGGGTCCAAAGCTTAGTTTAATTACTCTAGTGAAAAAGCACTGATAGTTAGTGTGTATTTGATCAGGATGGAGATATATATATAAAAGTTTCCTAGTGGCTGGCCTTAATATCTGGCTTAAAAGGTTTCTAATTTGATTCAGTTTCTATCTCCACTGCCCCTCTTTTCTGATTGACTGATTTCCCATTTTTTAATTTTAATCAGGTTTTTTTTAATGTTTTAAAATGTAGGTCAGTCCTACGAAATCCGTATGCTTAACAGAAAACTAGTGGAGTATACAGATATAAGCAGCAAATGTGTGAAGGTAGGTGTAAGGTATTGTGTTTGTCTGTTTTTATTGACTTTCATGTGACCTCTTCCTCTTTCTTCTTGTTATCTGTTTTCATGTATCCATTTCCTGGTTCGTCACAGGTCCCTCGACCCTCCCTTCCACTTCAGGGGTGGGGTGTCGACCTTGGAGAGCTTGGTACTATCACCCAAACTTACCTCTCCTCCTTCTTAGACTTCACATAAACCACAAACACACAACAACTCATCTTACCTTCACATTCCCACATACACACACTCTTGAACATGCTGCTCTGCTTTTGTCTTCATGACTGGCGTTCTGTATACTTACATTATCCCTGAAAAAATAACAAATTTAAGATGTGTTATACTCCTGATGCCATTGATGTCTGAAAATAAAACAGCCCAGATAGCAAAGTGAAACTTCAGGCCCAACATATGCCTGGGACCTTGGCCCGAGTCTGGCCCACACCAAGGCAGAGTCTGGCTGTTATCTTTCGGTAATGACCGACAGCTGGAAAGTTTTCTGTGTGTGGAAGTGGCATCTTACAATCATGCTGTATATGAGCCAGATTCGGGCTGTAAAACTGGGTGTATACTGGGCCAGAAGAAAGCAAGTATGTGGCCCAGGTATGGGCCAGATTTATTTTACTATCTGGGATTAACAGCTCATATTTTCTGTCATGTCACTTTCATTTTAATCACACAGGTTGTTGTGACATACATGTGTTACCAACTGATTTCAGATGCAAGTCGAAACTAACTTCATTTATTGCAAAGACATTTGTCAACACACTCACTTTAGAGTAAGGAGAGGTCATTTTATTTCACTTCTGAATGAGTGCATCCACTTGACATGTCTTTGTCGTCAGACTACCACTGCTAGACACCGTAATGTTAGCTAGTGTAGCATCCTAGAAACACAAGAATGGGACAGGTGGCATCTATACAAACACATGACGTGCCGGATGTAGTCATGCATGAGCCTCCCTCCATAAATATCCCAATGGTCCATGTTTTTTGCGGGTTGTTAATTTAATTTGTTGAATTTTTTTTCATGTCCTAGGAGGATTTAAAAGAAGGTTGCTGTTAAAGGGGCACCCCAGCCTTTTAGTGTTGTGCTTCCATAAAATCAGGGACTCACAAGAGATTTAAAAACAAGATGCCTACATTTAAAAGGAGTAGGGAGCAAAATATCCAGACATGGTCCCAAGAATGGGTCTCACTCCAACATTTTTCCATGATCTGGATAGCGTCTCACTACATCCACTTCATAACACAGACTCTTTAAATAAAATGTTTAGGTCACAACTCCAAGGAGCACCCGGATGACATTATCAGGGTTATTTTTGGTTATTTTCTTAAATGTAAAAAAGCTCCTTTCAAAGCCCCAGAACACGTGATGCAACTGTTTTCACACACTGAGAAGTACTCCCCATGCATGAGTGAGTAATCAGTGAACTAAAATTGGTGGAGTGCCCCTTTCATAAATTCCATAATTATACACCAGGAACAATATTATTAAAAAAAAAACGTTGTTAGATTTTTTTTGACAAGATAAAATATTATAAATATAAAATATTACAGATAGGTCACATAAAGAGCCTCAATAAGCTAGTAACATGAAGTAATGCAACTGATGCCATTTACATTGTGAAGACATGGACTGTCTTTGATCAGGGTTCCCACATGCTTTGAAAATTATATTTCCCACCAAATTTGGTGGGAAAAGTCTTATGAGCATTGGAAAAGTAATTTATGGCCTTAAGTACTTTTTGGTTTCAACCTGACTTGATCATGAGGTCTGAGGTGGGAAGCCATGATTGTTGAAAATGACGTAATAAATTTATCACCTGGAGTTTTCAGTGACATCTGCTAGTGAGACATGAGGTCACCACTGAAGAGGCACTGTAATTTTCCAGGAAGATCTAGTGTCCATTTCACGGGATCTTTAAATTTGTCGTGAGTGTGGGAGCCCATATTTTCAGGTGAAAAAGTCACTGTCTGTGCTGCTTCTCACAGGTATCAGATGTACTAGCTCATTGACAGTTCATTTCACTCATGCAGGTGCTCTTTTTAAACAAGTGTACTATGTGATGGTTAGGGATGGAGAGGAAATTCACTGCGAATTCCCACCTCCTTGCCCTTGGCTGATGAAACTGCCTCAGTATGTTTTGATGAATAAATGAGGGGGAGCCTTTCTGCACGTTGCCCAACAGTCCGGCTGTTCGGCTCTGTGCGAGCTGCCCCATTCGAGCTGTAGCTGTTGCTCTGGCCTAAATCCCTGATCCTACCTGTTCGCAGAGCATTGTGCGCGTGGTGTTTCATGATCGTCGACTGCAGTATATGGAGCACCAGCAGCTGGAGGGATGGAGGTGGAACAGACCTGGAGACCGAATCCTGGACATAGGTGATTTAACTGTACCAATGTATGACCTATTAAAGACAAAGTTAACTGATGTCTCCAGTACAACTTAAAAAAGGAGCTATTTGCAGAGTGCGAATTTTACAATGACAATCAGAGGGGTCAACTTTTCTCTGGGGTGAAAGGGAACCCGGCATCTTCCTTGATTAACTAAAACTGTCAAATAAATGTAGTGAAGTAGAAAATACGATACGATTTCCCTCTGAAATGTAGTAGAGTGGAAGTATAAAGTGGAAGTGGAAATATAAAGTAACATAAAATGGAAATACTAATTGTAATAAAGTACAGTTACCTCAAAATTGTGCTGTAGTTATAAAGTAAATGTACTTAATTACTTTCCACCACTGCTAATACAATTACTGAGCCTTCAACACACATGGATTTTAATATTGTTCAGTGACCCAACAGGTAAAGCACCAGTGTTTGATAACATTAGAGCATATATGACATTTTTTATTGGTAATGAAAGGACGCTAGCTAACATTAATTAGCTAAACTGTAATTTAAGACTATAGTGAGAAACTACCTAATTTAGATAGCTAATCTGTAATTTAAGGCTTAAATTGGAAACTAGCTGACATTAGTTAGCTAAATATATGGACCCCATAATTCCCAAAGTCTTGTCAAGCGGATGACCACCAGCTGCTCCTGGCAAGAAACCATGTTGGCGACAGAGAAAACTTACAATATGCCCCTTTAACTGATGCATTCGTTCATCATGGGTGTCGTCAGTGAGACTCAAGCCCCTAATTATCATTTACCCCAAAAGCTGTGCAGGAAGGCTTGTTATTTATATCAATTTTAATGACTAAACTAATGCACTGTGGACTAACCAACAGACCAACATCGGCATCCACAGAGCCACATTGCTAGCATGGCTAATAAAAACCCGTGGGTGTCCTAGTAACCTAAGCAAACAACCTCTTGACATTTTGATTCAAATTCTGCCAAATTATAGTTGCTGCTTTCCGAACTTGACAAACAGAAGTCTTTGAGGTGAAATAAATAACCTAAATAATAACCTGTTTTCAGGGCCTTTAAAGTAAAGTAAGACTAACAGACTGGTGCATTACTTGCAGATATCCCACTGTCAGTGGGGATACTGGAGCCTCGTTCACACCCTCTGCACCTCAACACCATCGAGTTCCTCTGGGATCCCGTCAAGAATGCTTCCATTTTCATCCAGGTACAGATATATCCTCGTCAAATATCTTTCAGTATCATTGCTGCTTCCGCCGCCCAGTTGATTTTCTAACTCTTCTTGTCGTGTGCTCTCAGGTTAACTGCATCAGCACTGAGTTCACCCCCAGGAAGCATGGCGGAGAGAAGGGGGTGCCCTTTCGTATCCAGGTTGACACTTTCACCACCAATGAACACGGCGAATACATGGAGCATGTCCATTCCTCCAGCTGCCAGGTCAAAGTCTTCAAGGTACGACACTTTCTCTGCTACATGTTTTCTGCTTGCCTGCCCAGCATCTGGCTTTTACACAGTTACGTTGCAATTTACTGATCATCTAATCCAGTGGATCCCAACCTTTTCCAACTCATGACTCACTTGAAAATCTCAGAAATGTTGGCGGCCCACAATCAGACCCTGTAACAACACAGAGGCCAAATAAGGACTTCTTAGAGCACTTTTCATTGTAATAACAATTGAACATTCAGGACTGAACTGAAAGCAGGGCAATGTCAATTTTTCTTTTCTGTTTGACAGAGTAGAGATCACTTGTTGATTCGCCTCATCTGTCTCTTGACTCTCTGATCTTTTAATTCTTCCTTCTATTCTGATTCTCCAGTTTTCGCTATAGATATAATCTCTCAGCGCACAGTGTTTAACCCTGTTAACATGTCCATATGGTGCTTTTTATACAACACGTTTTTAAAGATCATATGTGTTATTAATGTTAAAGATCATATATATATATATATATATATACACACACCTTTGCTAATTATTTCTCTGCCCACTTGCAATACATTTACAGGTTGGGAAACACTGCTCTAGGCTGTATGGTCAATTAGAAATATAAACTTATCTATGATAGGTTTGTATTTTACTTTGAATGTCTTCATTTGTAATGTCCTCAGCCTAAAGGAGCTGACCGCAAACTGAAGACGGACAAGGAAAAGATTGATAAAAAGGCCCCTCATGACAGAGAAAAGTATCAACCCTCCCATGAGACCACGCTGCTAAAAGAGGTGAGGGAAGCTGTTTGTAACATTGCATAACAAATCAGGGCTGAGATGACCCTTCCTTTACTTTAATTTTGTCACAAGTGTTGTTACGCTGTAACTTTATTGATCCCACAGTAGAAATTCTTGTGTTATCTGGATGTTCCTCTGATCTCATCAGCACTGATTCCACATTATATCTTCATGTGCTTCGCCTGCCAGTCAGAACAGTTTCCTCCTCTCGCTCTGCTTTCTTGCACACAGCACATTATAAACCACTACTACATCACTGTGTGTTAATATGTTGCTCTGCTTGTTTTGAGTCTTGTTTTTTTTTTTTTCAAAGAGTGCTTGCTTGTTGCTGAGGCTCGTCAATGATTGGGGCTCTCTGTGCGTCATGTTTGTGTCTTTGAACAACAAGTGACGCAGCAGTTTCTGCTTTAGTGTTAATCTGGTTTGTTATTCAACTGGATGAAAAACTAGCTGAAGCAAAGAATCATTATACTGTCTGTTAAGTAACAGTAGTAATACTACAAAGTAATTCAATTCAAGAAACTTTATTTGTTCCCAGGGGGCAATTCAAAAGGGCACATTGACATTAAAAACACACAAATAAACAAGAAAAGAACACACAACCAGTGTGGGACAAACTGTACATAATAAGAAAAAGAAAAAGAAAAACAATGACAATGACAGAAACAAGATTGGTGCAAAAAAACAAAATATAAAAAAAGAACAATTAACAACAGTGCAAAGTAAAATCTGTAAAAATTATAATGACAATAACATGGGAGAATGATATTACAAGTGCAAATAAATAACTGTACACAATACTACTGTATAGCTACTTTATATGCTATTTGGTAGGTTAATCCATTGAAATACATAATACATCATATTTTATTAGTTGATGATATGATTTGCATATAAAATATTAATCTGTAAAGTAATTAGTCACTATAGTTGTCAGATAAATGTAGTAGAGCACAATATAATATCTCCCGCTGAAGTGAAAGGGTAAAGTAGAACCTCAATGAATTACATGAATTCCCCCTAGGGGATAAATAAAGTAAATGTACTAAATGATGTAAATGTACTTGGTTGCTGCTGGAAGCAAGCAGTTGTCTATTTACACATCCAACAGACACAGAGAAGTGGTAGTAACGATTTGGAGATGTCTTTCTTCCTTTTGATGAATTTAAGTTTTATATTCTCTCCTTTTGGCTTTGTTTTGGTCCTCACCGTCTCCTGGAGGAAACAGGAAAATCAAAACAATGGGGTAAAAAAACTACTCTGCTGACCCAGGACACATTCATGTTCACACTGCTAAAAGAATGAGGCCACATGTGGTCCAGACCACCTCTGAATGTGGTCTGAATGATTGGATCTTAAATGCATCCTCAATGTGTCATAGGCGCATTGACACCTGAACTTAGAGCTGACCAATCGTGATCGGATCGCCTGAGACAGATGTTAATACCAGGTCTGAACAGGGCCAAAGATCCATTATTGATGCAAGTGTGATTTTTACTCCTGTAGCCTTTGTTCAAAGATATATTTACTTTGTTGGAAAAAAATGTCTTCCTTTTTCTTCTCTGTTTCTCTCTGTTAAGTGTTCCCCGTGGCCCGATGCCCTAAATCTCACCACCACCACCCACAGTGGCTGCAGCACTCCATCACCAGTTTACCACAGCTCCCCAGTTCCCTGTAGTTTCACAGATGGGTGAGTCAGCGTGCACATTAGCACATCACCACTCTATTCATTTTGTGCAGGAAAGCTATATATTAATATCAATGAGTTTCAGTAGCTTTGTTGGCCGTTTCAGACATGAAAGGCAGTGAAGTCTGCAAGGCTGGGCTTGACCACTGTTCAAGTGGTGTAATGCTGCCAGTAGTAATGGCTCCCTCTATGGGTGCCCAGCAGGAACACTCATCACTGTTGAAAAGCATCAACTTCCACGACCTCTGCTCTTTAAATAGAGTTAAAAACAGACTTTTTTTTAATGAGTAAAAAAACAGACGTGTTTCAGAGAAATGAAAAAAAAAAAATACTCAACCAATCACCCCAATCTGTTCTTTCTTCCTCATGTGCACGTTTCTGTAGCAACTGTTCTCCAAACCAGCAAGGGGAGCTGCTCATGCCCGGCTGCTCTGATGTAAGTAACGGAGAACAGTGCAGAGTGAAAGAGTTAATGTTGCTCTCTTATTCCCTTTAGGCCATTATTTGGAGACAGGGGATGCTGTGCTGCTATACTCATTTCAAGGGCTCTTCTTCTTTTTGACATGTAGCACCTTCTGCCATCGTCCTCGCCACAGAACACTCAGCAGTGGCTACACCGTCACAGGTTCTCGCCTTTCTCAAGGCTCTTCTCCAGCTTCTCAGGTAACGGGGGTTAAAGGTCACAACACATTTTGATCCATCCATTGCTATTGAAAGAGATACAATTAAGACACATGTAATTTCTGTTAGTGTGTTTGCAGTGTTGGGGAGAGGTGAACTACATGTAATTAAACTAATAATTTAACTACATTCTGCGGTAGCTTGCTTGGATTTCAACTAAATTCCCATGTGCATAGTGATTCAAGTAGTATTACTTTTTTAATAGTTTTGGGCCATAAAAGGAAAGGAATGATTTTTTTATTTTACCATTGCTTTCTCTACTGTAATTGAACTCCACCCGCTTTTTCTTTCATCCCGACCGCAGTAAAGACATACCCAGGCAACTCATTTGTCAGGCAGCCACCACCACACACTTGACCTCTGTGTAGTTCATGTGTAAAAGCCAAGGGCAGGTGTTGCTCGATGGTCACACAGCAACAACGTCATCATGGACAAACTTCCTGATTCTCGGCCTGAGGAAGAATCATCATGGGCAGAAATAGGCAGTTATTGTTTACAAAACCATAGCTGATGTTCCAGCACTTTCCCATGAGTAGTGTAGTATATAGCACTTTTTGCAATAAAGTCAGTTGAGTGGCACCTTTTCCATCTTGTTGTCGAATGGATTATTTTTCTACAAAGTAGTTTGATCTACTTTTTCCAAATAGCTTTAGTAAACCAAACTAGATTTCTACCTACAGCTTTACTGTAGTTCATCTTCCTCCAGTGTGAAGTAACTGGTAGTCTAAAAAGTGAGGCGTTCAAAGTCACTTCCCCAACACTGTGCTTGTCCATTCCCAGCATCAGATCAGATCACAGAGTAGGGTCGAGAGCAGAACCAGATTTTCTGCTGTTGTTGCAGGTGCTGATCTGTTGAGGATGAGCAGGGAGGATCTGATCCAGATTTGTGGCCCGGCAGACGGCATTCGCCTCTTTAACACCATGAAAGGAAGGTGAGCCATTTAAATACACTCCTGTGTGCTCAGTCACAGCAGAGTGGGGCCACGGCCAAATGAATCTTAATAGGACAAATGTTCTGTTTTCATTGCTGCATGTGGTTAAGCAGGTTTATGTGGAATTGGAGGATACAGCAATACTCAGAGTCTCCAGTTCTTTCTCTTCCCTCAATTGTCACAATGATTCATACTTAGTCAACAACACAAATCTATGAGCAGAGGAGAGTCCTCAGACTTTTTCACCTTGGATTTCTCTTAATGGTGAAGGTTGTTGGGTTTCTATGAAAACAGAAAAGAATAAAACTCCATATATTTATTCACTGAGCACTTTTTTTTAGGTCCTCTCTTTTCTCTGCCTCAATTCTTCTCAGCAATGAAACAACAGAAATAAAATGTTAAAATAATGGACACTACATTAAAGTGCCAAGTGTTCACTGCTTGTGGAATTTTGCTGCCACAAATGTTGTTGACAAGAAAAGACATGTTGAAAGCAGAAGTTGCCAGTGACTGCTGAGACCAAGCCCATCAGTGTTTTTCAGTACCAGTGTTACAGTTTCTACTTGCATTTTCCAGGTGTATACAGCCCCGCCTTACCATCTACATGTGTCAGCAGCAGGCAGGAAATCATCCTCCCATCAAGCCAGGGGGTGGAGACAGTAAGTGTACATACTGTATTATATCATTCTTATTATATGTGCGAATGTATGTGCACTCAGAATAAGTAAGATGAGCGACTCTGCAATGTTTTTCAAATGTAATTTTGACTGGTTGTTCTGTATTCGTCCACACATTTACAGTCCACTGCGGAGATCTGTGCAGGAGTCATGCAATTAATTTTGATTATATTCATATTTGAACACTGTCTCCTAACATTTTTAAAGGCTGTTACCTCTTTTTATATCTGGAATATGTCATTTCCAGACATAATTTGCTGTGGAAGTTGAGGAATATCAGGGCGTTTTACAAATAAGTCACCAGAAAGGAAAATATCAATTAAACGCACAAAGAATAACAATGTGATCTAATGTCGTCATGACACTGCTTGTTCGTTGATGACTGTCCTGTCTCCTGTGTCTTCCCTGCAGTCTACCATGCTCTGTACCTGGAGGAGCTGACTCTGTTGGACCTGTCTGAAAAGATTGCCATGCTGTACAGCATCACCCCACAGCAGATTACACACATCTACAGACAAAAACCCACTGGGATCCACGTCTTAGTCTCTGACGAGGTATCTATCAATCACAGCTTGAGAGCCATGGCCCGGTTAGTGCTGCCAACCAGGTTGTGCAGCAAAAAAAGTTGGTCCTGGTGCAACTTGTAAAGCAAAGAAACGTGACGTCAGCCAACTGGCAAGGTGCTGAGTTGGCCAATCACATGAAAGCCTGTTCCTCAAAGATCGTATTTCATTGTCTCTCCGGTACATTGAACAATGCCCCAATACCAACACAGTGCCTTGTGCTGTTTTAATGCGGGGCAAATGTCTATCTGAATGCAGCCATGCCTCAAACGTGTAGTTACTTGTACATTGTGGTTGCTGATGTACATACGCAGCTGTGGTGGCTACATGCATTGACTCCACTCTGTACAATTATAAATCTTTCTACAGGCCTTGACCAGGATGTTTTGGGGGTTTTTTCCCCTGCTCTTGCTCAACAAAGGCCAGATCAACTACATACTAATCACCCAAAAAAGCAATACTTCTCAACTATATTTTAGAGGGAAACATTGTACCGTTTTCTGCTCTACATTTATTTACAATAGGAGTTACTAGTTAGTCCATTCAAGCCTGTTTTTAGTGCTTTTTCTGAAAATGTTATTTGTCTTAATTCTCCTGCAGTGATGTGCCTTACATTTCTCTCAAGAGACAGTAAGTTCTTTAGGTTACAGATGAAGTGTAAGTGTATTTTGCCCTGTGTTGGTGTGACACGCTGAACAGAATTCTGATGTGCTGCTCTTGGGAAACAGAAATCAGCTCTGATTACACTGGTCTGTCTCTTCCTTTCAGATGGTGCAGAACTTCAGGGAGGAAACAAGCTTCATCATCAGCACTATAAGGGGTAATTAGTTTTATAGTCCACCTTTAATATCACAACTCATTATTATATATTTAGTATCTATTCATAATCATTGGTATTTTTGAATGATCTTGTATCAGATTGTTTTCTGTTACGCAGATGAAAGCACTGATGGCTACCACGTCGTGTTGAAGTGACCAGCAGGTCACTCAGGAGGTTCTTCTATCAATGCAATTGTACAGATTGTATGTAAATCGCTCTAGACTACATTATGTGACATTTATTAAGATTTACAGAACAGTAAAATGCTGTTAAGCTCTCAGTTTACTGTTGATTTTGTGTTTTTGCTTAGTTCTTTAATTTTCTTTATTTGTATTTTTGTCAAGTTACTGATTCATGTTTGATATGTCTTGTAATTAGTGGTAAACAGTGCTGTATTACTCATTCACATACGTTTTTGGCTTTAACACCTATAAATGCAATAACTGTCATGATAATAAAGCAAAGTAAATCTCATACATCATCATCCAGACAAATAGAAAAGAAAAATGAACAAAGTGTTTTATGTCCCTGCTCTATTTTTTGTCTTGAATATGAATTGCTGTGGTGTGCCATATAATGCGTGTCTGGCTTTGTTGCTATGAGGCTGAATATTTTCTGGATGCAGTTGAATGCAATATTTTAAACAATTCAGATGTTTAGGCCTGCACATAGGCCTGCTGTAGACAGTATCAACTAAAGCCGGATCAAACAGGGGCAGTGGGCTGCAGTTTGGATCTATGGTTTTGAATTGTTGTATCTTCGATGTATTTTAGTCCAAATAAAATATTTTGCACTGTTTTCTCTGTCAGTGGTTGGAAGTGGGAGGGGCTCAGTTGGAAAAATGTGATGTCATACACTTTACTACTTTATTTTTATTTGGTTGTTTAGTGATATGAGGACTGTTTAATATATTTAATTCTGTAATAATAATAATAATAATAATAATAATAATAATAATACATTTTATTTGGCAGCACCTTTCACAGCACTCAAGGACACTTTACAGAAGATTAAAAACACAAAATAATATGTATATAGTAGTTTTTATTAGTATAAGAGCAGTCAGCGTTTCCCATGGATTCAGATTGCCTGCATCAGAGGGAGTCACAGGAAAAAGATTGTGCATTGTGCATCCAGTGTAGAGTGAGCAACAGCAGTTGAGCTGCAGTCGACTTCTCACCATACCACAAGAGGACAATACAGTCATAGACCTCTTGAGATCACATATTTCACACATTGAAGAAAAACAAAACAAAACATTGCAACATAAGGAAACAACCCACCAACTATTGTTAGTGTTTAAATCAGTTTCTTCATATGTTGTCAGGAATACCTAAACTACCCACATGTTCTGGAAGACAGACAGACAGACAGATCCCCAAGGGGAAATTCATGTGTCCATTAGCTCATTGTTGATAGTAATAATAATAATAATAACAGTTAATAATAAATGAACAATAATAATTAGATTAGTCCCCTTCCTTTGGCTGAGGTGTTGTATAGCCTGATGGCAGTGGGAACAAAGGATCTACTGAACCTCTCTGTTCTGCAGCGCAGTGAGATGAGATGTTTGCTGCAGCTGCTTCTCTGTCCTGCCAGAATGTCGTGGAGAGGATGGTTGATATTGTCCAAGATGGCCTCCATCTTACATTGCATGTGTCTCTCCACAACAGTCCTGAGTGAGTCTAGACTCCTGCCAAGCACAGATTCAAGCAGACTGTGATACATGGACTGATCACCCCTGTGCTACTCGGTAAAACAGAGATCTGTGTATGATGCTTTGAGGAGCGAGAGCAATGGCTTGCTCTCTTGAGCCGCGCACAGCTGTTGTGTTCACTGCTGCTGGTTAACATGAACACTGATCAGAAGCAGGAGGACTTCTTTTGATTATGCAGATATTGCACAGGCTCTTTTTTTTATCCACACACATGTTGGATAAGTAATAGTTACAATGACAGACATAACAAGTTTGCTCATTTGAGAGTATAAATACATTTTGGGTACAACACATCTTAAACCTAAGGCTACTGCCAGTCCACATCATATGTAGAGAGTGGGGCATGGATGTATTATATATGTGTGTGTGTGTGGGTATATATATACCCTGTAAAGTGTCCTTGGGTGTCCTGAAAGGCGCTTATAAATAAAATGTATTATTATTATTATTATTATTATATATCCATGGAGCAGAGCCGCATTTGCAAAGCCTGACGGGCACTTCAGTCTCCAGGAATCAGTGAAGCTGAACAGGCTGCATATTTCTGCCTGAGTAGGCTGCCAAACTACATGCCAACACTCCACCCCGACACAGCTTCCTGATCAGTGCTCCCTAGGTTTCGATCAGTCAAACTGATACCGACCGATTGAGTGAAAGGTGCGGTCTGCCACAACTCAACATTGTCTTTTTTTCTTCCTTAACTTTGCTCTGAAACACAGCTGGATGACGACCTGTGAAGTGCGCGGAAGTGACGCAGACAAGACAGAAAAAGAGGTAAAAAAGTGACGGACGGTTAATATTTTGTATTGTTGATGTCTGTGCCTTTTGTCCCGACATTTGTCATGTATCGTGTGATTTTAATATCTCTTGTAATTTAAAATGCTGATGATTGAATGAAATAAATTTAATCTTTAATTATCTTTCTGGTTTTGTTCATTTTAAAGCACAGGCACCACAGACTTGAGCCTACAGCTCACTTCACTCAGGCTTATTCCATTAAACTGATCTTTTTTTCTTTTTAAAAAAAAAAAAAAAATTGGATTACACAGTAGTTTGTGGTCTGGGGCTGATTGTTAATTAAAATTGTGTTTAGCTGTTTGAGTCTTTGGGTCAGATTGTATACCTTCAGATAAATTTGGATATGACTAAGCAATCTCTCATGGCAGACATGTTGTATTGTTATAACAGGAAAAGAATATGACAATCTAAGGACTTGATAGCTGTGTGTCAGTATGCCATGCCAGTTAGCCAGCAGGGACAATAGCAGTGTCTTGGAACTGGCACACCTGTAGTGCGGTTTGTAAGAACATTACACCTGTGGCTGACAAATTAAAATGCCCACCATGAGAAAAGTCTAGAGGCTGAAGAATGATCCTGTCCGCCATCATGACGCAGCCTACATGCAAATGTTTCTATTTCAGCCTGAAAGAGGGAGGGCCGTGGAGGGAGGCAGGCTTCAGGCTTCAGTGAGGAGTGTGTGACACCAGCCTTTGCATAAGTCCATCCCCCTGACACACCCCGTACTGGGAATCTGTTAGCACATCACAACAGTCGCAAGGTGCAGTAAAACCAGTTGTTTGGTTTCCGTTTCTGCCTGTACAGTCCTCTATGGTTACTTTCTTTATTTCCTTTTAAGCATTGTTGATCTACACTGAAGAGTGAAGAGCTGACCAAAGGTGTGTCATGGCTGATCAAAAGGTAAACAGTTGAAATAACTGCCAGTCTTTGAAAATACAAAAGCAAAATTAGAAGAAAAAAAAAATAGTGCAGATGATTTTAATCAGCTTTATAAGTGAAGATACTGGAACGCTGTTCTGGAAAATTCCAGGCCACTTGATGTAAAACACAAACAACTAGGGCTGTTTCTCACACATCAGTGTCATAAACATTGATAATCAGATTTCAGATTAGTCATAATAATCATATCAGCTGTTTTGAAAGATATTGTGAGTAGCTTAAGAATTAACATTGTACTACTGTTTATTCATCAGTTTTGCTAGTTTGTAGATGACAGTATGACAGTTAAGTTCCTTACAGCACCAATTTTGAAAACTACGACCAAGCTAGTTAGTGAGTTACTTGCAAAACAACTTAATTTAAACATGTACTACATGCACATGTTGAGTGTCTTTTAAATTGCAAAAACATTTAATTAAAAGTGTCATTTGACTTAAAGTCAGTAAGCTATCATTTAGGTGTTACAGTGGAGTCATGTTAGGAACATACTGCTTTGCAGCTGCCCAGTATGGACAGGAGGGGTGAAAGTAACCAAAAGCTGTCTCAACATAGATGTTCTTGAAAAGATTTATATTTATGCTTTAACTTCTTAAAAACCTTGGGGTCAGGTGGAGTACTTCTAAAATGCAATATAGCTTTGTTTTTCAAAAAATAATAAAGTAGGCAGCAATTTGAGTTGAAAATGTGAAATTACTTAAACATAATCTTTTGTTTCAGAATGAAGAGGAGAACCTGACATCCAACATAAAGCAATGCCATAGGGAGGAAACTGTAGAGTCTGTGGATGCCAGCGATAATGCCTGCGATGAGCAAGAAACAAACACACCTGGAAGACCATGCAAGCCTTATCCATTTTGTAGGTACCATGATACATACAGATACATGGAGAGCAGCGTTCTTGATATTACAGAATCAGGTGCCTCAGACTTGATTGAACCCTGCCATGAGTACAAAGGGTTTTACAATACACCAGATGAATTTCAAATGATCAAATTCAGGTATGAGGTTATTCGCTTCGCAGCTGCGTGCATGAATTGCCGCACCAATGGTACTATACATTTTGGAATAAGGGACACGCCTCACGGTGAAGTCTTGGGAGTTGTTGTTAAGATCAAAGAAGCTTATGAAAAGACATTACGACTTGCCATTGATAAGCATTTTGAGTACAAAGAGATCGCTCAAAGATGCATCAGACCTGTTCGATTTGTTGGGGTTCTCAATAAGAGTCAGACATCGTCTGACAAATGTGTGATAGAAGTGGACATAGTTCCTGACTCTACAATCTGTGAAGAAAAGTTCTACCACACATTCAACAACACAAAACAAGTAAAAGAAATGGTCAAAACTAAATCAAAACAGTTCTATGTACGAGATGGTGGGTCCACTGAGAATCTCCTTGCATTACCCAAACCTAAGAAGTATAAACAGTTTGTTGACAGCATGAAACAACGATCACAACTCCGAAAACAAGCTGAACAGAAACACCTAGTTACTAAAGAGAATTATCAAGGCATTCAATTAATTGAGATGATAACCGGTGGATCGCTCTCTTTAGATAAGTCACACTTTGAGCGTTATGTGATAGTAACTAACAAAGCACATTCAAGCCACTTTGAATCACTAGAGTTTCTTGTAGAACTCAATCCAACAGCAGTTTTGGACTTTGATCCAGAAACAGCTAAAGATGGATTAGAGTGTCACTTCGAACAGCAGAGTCCAGTAAGTGTCCATTTACCAGCACAGTATAAAATCACAGGACCAATTGAGGACATCGCAAACAATTTGAAATTAACTCGAAACACCAGCTGGGTATGCTGCAATGGCGGTATTGAGAATGAGGCACCCTCAGACATAGACCAGTGGTTGATGGACAAGGGAGCCTCGGTTCGAGATGTGATTTCTTTCTTGTGTCGGAAAGATGTGCTTCCAAACAAGAGATTCCTCGTCATTTTCTTACTTTGGTCAATGGTGAGTGAGAAGATCGACCCACTTGTTGAGACCTTCAATACATTTTGTCAGGAGCTCGGAGGCAAAGACCAGATCCTTTGTATATGTGATAACAAAAATGCATTTACCTCCTGGAAAGACCTAATCGAGGCTAGGTGCGGAATCGACATCTCTGATAGATGTATATTTGAGCTCAGTTTTGCTGAAGTCAATGGCACTATCCTTAGTCTTTCGTCAAAAAACCGAAGATCCATCCGTTTCCTACCCTGTGGTCAGGGAAGCAGAGTGCTTCTTGAGAAGAAAGTGGAGCATAGCCTGAACACATTAGAGGTTCTGTGTGTGAACCAATGTGAAGGTGGAAACGAGGACAAAATTGTCAAAGAGGAGAACTTCTACAGAGGAGGCAAAGTGTCATGGTGGAATTTTTATTTCTCAGAGCATCCTGAACAAATTCTTATCAAACGAAACAAAATTGACTTCATAGAAAATAAAGTCAAACAAATTTTGTGCTCACAGACGAAAGCCTGCGTGTTGTTCAACCTCCTCCATGTACCTGGTTGTGGTGGAACAACTTTGGCCATGCATACTTTATGGGCTCTCAGGGACAGATTCCGTTGTGCCATCCTTAAAGACAACAACGCAGACTTGGCTGAAGTAGCAGATCAAGCGGTCAAACTTTTAACGTATGTCCATAAGGAGCAATTACCACAGGCCCCTGTTATGCTAATGATAGATGACTTTGATGATATGGAAAAAGTATCAGAGTTGCAGCAGCTCATTGAAAACGAATGTGAGAGGAAAAACATTCAGTCTAAGTCTCCACAGGTGTTCCTCCTGAACTGCATGAGGTCAGAGTCTCCTGAGCTGACTGGAACAACTAAAGATACTGTACTAGTAATCCTTAAAAATGAGCTCTCTGATGAGGAGCAGAAAAAGTTTTCACTAAAAGAAACTGTAGAAACATTCTATAAATTCATGCTCAGTAAGAAGAACTTAAAGCCAGAGTATATTAAGAAAGTTGTCCACAACACTCTGAGGAGCTTCAATATCAACCAAAAGCTTTCCCAACTCCTGGCTTTTTTAACTCTTTTGACTGCGTACTGTGAGGATGCCTCTCTCCCTGTGTCTCTGTGCCAGGAATTTCTCAGTTTGCACCCTAAACCCATTTGTGGAACTGGAAGAGTACAAGAAGGATTTGGGGAGTTTTCTAATTTAATTTGCTGTACCACAGTTAAGGGTGAGTTAGGACAAAGAGCTGTAAAGATGATCCATCCAAATTTCACAAAGTACTGTCTGCAGGAACTTGAAACAACTCACAAAATGACAAAGGCTGACATTACCAACCTACTACTGACGACAGAGAAGTTTTATGAGAACACGGATGGCAGAGGAAAACTCTGGCAAGATGTTTACTACATTTTAATGGGTAGACATTTAGTGAAAGAAGCCTCTCCAATCAATTTATGCATCCAGCCATTAATTGAGGTTTTCAAGTCTGATCTGAAATCTCTCCTAGCAAAGTTAAAACCAACAAAAATCTCTCGTCTAATTCAAGATATTGAAAGTGAAACTCCAGGGTTGGTAGAGATGGTACTTCAGAATGCATTAAAAAGGTTTCAGAATGATGCCAACATTGCTCAGTTACTAGATTCAAACTCAAGCCAAAGAAGGAGGATTTCAAGTAGCATATGTGGAAAAATGCAGAGATACTTAACAACTTTGTCCAGTACAGAGATGACAAACCAAGACCTGAAATGCAGTGAAAATCACTTTAATTAAATTGGTATAATTCCCTTAAGTGTTGGGCCACTGGGTGACAATAGTGTGGTTTGGGTAGCCATGTTTGTTATTGACCTATTAATCCCCTGTTAGGTTACAGTAAAATGACTCTTTCCCAATAGGGGGCTTGTCATTTAAATGTTTAATGTGGCTGCAAACGTGGGTAGAGCAGTTGTCTCGGGAGCACATCCCTGGCTACAGAGGGTCGCTGGTTTTCCAGTTACTTCTCTGTTCCAGTGGTTTTCACTGCATAAGTACCCCCCACAAGTAGTGGCACGAAGACTAGGGTTGAGTTGAGATAGTTAGTCTTATGTCAGATAGATAGGGCTGGGGAGGGTCTCTGTTTTTTGTGGTGGCTGTCCCCTAACTTATACTTAAAGAGATAAATAATATAGTACAATATATTGATTCTTGTCATCGGCAATCTGTTTTCTTTCTTTGCACTGTCCACTTTGCTGCTGTGATGCTGGAAATTTCCCCACTGTGAGACTAATAAAGGAATGTCTTATCTTAATGTCCTTTTATTATTATCAACGAGAGAGAGAGATCATTCCTTTGTGTGTGTGTGTGTGTATGTATATATATATATATATATATATATATATATATATGTGTGACCTTTGACTTCGAGCACAGCTATAATGCAAATTTGTAAATGGAACAATACTTACGTGACTGGCTTGGTCTCACGGGAACATGAGGACACACACATACAGACAAGAACACAGGATCCGTTTCTCAAAGCTTCATACGGGTAAGTTTTATTGAACAGTGATTACTGCAGTAATATACGGTAAATGGTTCAGTGTAGGGGAACTGGTTGACAACCTGACAGCTTCCTAACATCCACAGAGTTGGTGGTATAAAGGACAATGTGTATATGTTACTCTGAGTTGAAAATGAATCCATGATGTCCAGAGATCTTCTGTCCTTACACTGACATGACCACTTTTATGATCAAGGTGTCATCAAACATAGTACTTGAGTTAATAGATAAATGGGATTTCGATGACAAACTAATGCAGTTGATGTTATTCTTATATCTGCTTTGATATTGACTGTATGAATGAGGAACACAAAACTCAGACATTCCCTCATCTCAGGATCAACAATATTTTGCTCTTGGTTGCATTATCAAAGATTAAGCGTTAGAAACAAGACAGTCATGATTAATGCATTTGTATTTTTGTCTACATGGTGTGCAGATGTGACTGAGGCCAGTGTTGCCCAGGACAAGAGTTACGACATGTAAAATGAATTGCTATGCTAATTCAAATTAGAAATTTGGTTTGGTTTGATTCTTGCGGTTAGTGATTCATGGGTGTTCATTTTTAGGGTCTATTGTCATGTAAAAAGTTATGGGACAGCAGAAGATAGAGGTTCATAATTTTTGCACACTACACAAATAAGTACTGTGAAGATGAGATAGATTTCCTCCCAAAGCTACAATTATACAGTGCTATGAAAAGTATTTGCCCCCTTACAGATTTCTTTTGTATCTGCTTTTTTGTCACTTAAATATTTCAGATCAAACAAATTTTAATATCAGACAAAGATAACCTGAGTAAATACAAAAAGCAGTTTTTAAATGATGCAGAATTCCTTGTCAGGCTGAGCTAAAGTTTCTAATAAACTTATGGTAGAAATTGGCAAACCCAAGAAAACGCTGTACCTCCTTATGAGAAGAGGGGGAAGGCCAATCTGCCACTGTGCTGACCTTCTCCAGGTCCATCTTAATACTTCCTGCTGAGATGATGAAGCAGGAAGGAGACCGAGGACTGATGGAACTCACACTTCTCTGCTTTGACATATAGTTGATTCTGGAGAAGGCGCTTCAAGACCTGTTAGACATGCTGGACATGGGAGGACTCATTGGGAGAGAAGATTGAGATGTCATCCAAGTGAACGAACAAAAACATTGAGCATGTCTCGGAGGATGTCATTAACTAGAGCCTGAAACACTGCTGAGGCATTGGTGAGACCAAAAGGCATTACAAGGTATTCACAATGTCCACTAGGAGTATTCATTCACTCTTTCATTCACCCCCCCTCCCTTATTCTCACTAGATGGTAAGCATTACGTAGACCTTAGCCCCATGTAACAGCTCAAAACCAGAAGACATGAGAGGGAGGGGGTACCCGTTACAGATGGTGATGTCGTTGAGCCCCCGAAAGTCAATGCATGGGCGAAGAGACTTATCTTTCTTGTCCACAAAAAAGAAGACCAGCAGCCAGAGACTCTTCAATGTACTTGGACATGGCTGCTGTACTGCCCTTACAGCGCGTACTTCGGCACAACTAGACAGCCAGTTAACAATTAAAAGTTGAAAAACCACAAGGCTTGACTTTTTTTGTGTCTTTGTTTATTGATTGTAAAAAGATAAATGCTCTCCAAGGCAGAAACAACGAAAAAACCTCAGCACAACATGAACAGGCTCTCTGGCTAACCTGTGTATACTCAAAGAAAAGCAGGACAAAAAACTGCAAAGAGTGAATATAAAGGTAAGAGCACTCACTCTGATGCTTTTCCAAAAACTGAAAGACAGCGCGCTCACTCCGATGTCATTTCCGAAAACTAAAAAATGGAGTGCTCACTCATTAACTTTTTTTAAAGTCAGCACAGCTGCTGTTTCTGGCCCCGAGAGGGAGTACAATCTCCCCTTGGGAGGAGTGGTTCCAGGACGAAGGTCAATGGCGCAGTCATAAGGTCTATGAGGTGGAAGGGAGGTGGCCTTGGACTTGTTAAAAACTTGTTTCAGATCATGATAACAGGGGGGTAACTAGTAGAGAGCAAGGAATTCCATATCAGGATCTACGGGGCTGGCTGGAGACTCCGGTGGCGAAACCCTTGGTGGCGGTGACAGACGCTGTGGAACCATCCCACAGGACTGGGAACAACCAGGACCCCAAGCTAGAACCTGCCTCGTCTCCCAATTCACCTGAGGGTTATGCAGGATAAGCCACGGGCGACCCAGGATGAGCAGGTGCATGGGAGAATGATAGAACAAAAAAGATATTAGTTCATTGTGTTGGTCAGGGAACCTGAGGGTGACTGATTGGCAGAGGCAGAGTCAGTCTGGTGCGGCCAACCTGCATGGGCTCCTCCGGTACCACGGGGACAGCCAACGCGATGGTAACAGGGCGAGGATCAGAAAGGGTAGTAGCAGCTGGAGAGCGTCCCTGGTGGAGAGGAAGAGAGCGCTGGGAACGGGTACTGGACCGCTCTCTTTCTCGGTCTGAAAGTCGCTTATCAATCTTAATGGCAAGATCGATGAGGGAGTCTAAATCCAGGGGAAGATCCAGTGGCGCCAACTGGTCCTCGAGAGGCTCCGATAATCCCGCGAGGAAGGCATCGAAGAGAGCAGGGGGGGTTCCAGGAACTCTCGGCCACCAGGATGCGGAACTCGATGGCGTAATCCACCATTATGCCTCTCCCCTGCCTTAATCGAACCAGAGCCCGGGCCGCCTTGCGCCCAGGAGTTGTGTGCTGGAATATCTGGGAGAGAATCTTAGAAAACAATGAGAGAGACTGACAAACAGGGGAGGATCGACCCCACTCAGCGGTAGCCCAAGCCTCCGCCCAGCCTGTCAGGTGAGTGATGATATAAGCTATTCTGACTCTGTCAGTGGGGAAAGGCTGAAGTTCAAAATGTATTTCACATTGAGTCAAGAAGGTCTTACAATCCCCCGACTCACCGGAGAAGCGAATAGGTTGAGAGAGGAGAGGAGCAGAGTGACCAGAGTGGCTGGGCTGTAACTGCAGCCCCCAGGGGAGGAAGTGAAGGAGCTGGTCCTGGCACAGCAGAGGGAGACAACTCAGGAGGCTCATCCTGCATCATCCTGCATCCTGCTCAGGAGGCTCATCCTGCTGCCTGGATAGTCGTTCCACCTGGGAGATGAAACACGTCATCTCCTCCAGCTGAGCCTGCAATTCTGATAATTTGCGACAAACAAGATTAATACTCTCATCCTGACGGTTAATGTGTTTATGTGTGTGCGAATCACCGACAGGCAGAAGAAGGCAACGGTACCGACAGGGAACAGGCAGATCTCAGGAAAAGGGAAACAGAAACTGTCTCTCTCTGAATGGCAGTCAGGAAAACTCTGGTAAGTAACTCACTAGGGAAGAAAACAAACTGGCAAAATGAAAAGGAATACACAGGGCATAAATACTGTTGGGAATAACAAGACACAGGTAAACACATTAGGGAGAAGGCAGGGAATCACACGGGAGGAAGTAAAGACACAAGACGGAAACTACCAAAATAAAACAGTGTTTTATGTCTGTCTTGTCATTTCCTGAGGCCTGGGGACCATTGTGACATTCCTAGCATTTCTACAATTATACCTACCATACCTCAATACCCACTACCTAAAATAAAGCTTAAACATAATTTTATAATCACTTAACGTCGAATTTCTGGACACACGGGTCTTATTCTGCAACCGCAACGACTAGAGTAAAACACCTGTCACTAAAGTTTTTTTTAAAGATACAGACCGCCACAAATCAAGTTTTCATCCCAAACATACGTACAGGGGTCTGCTAGAATCCCAGCATATCAACTGGGATTCTAAGGGGGCACCAGTCCTCAGGGAGGACAACAATGTGTCAGGATCTGTATTCATTTTATTGGCATTTCCTGTTTTATTTTAAAGTCTTGGTTCTGTTGTGTTGCTTTTTTGTTTACTTCCTGGTTTTTCCCTCCTGTTTTGATTGCTGCCTCCGCCATAATGTCTTTCACCTGTGTCTTATTTCCTGTGTATTTAAACCCCGCCTCATTTCCCATGTCTTTGCCAGATTGTCTTTGTTGCCCTTGTGTTCAAGCTTTCTCGCGTTTAAGTCCTGATTGATTCCCTGTGTATGATCTGTTATTGGTATTTTTGTGAATATGGTGGAATATGTTATGGCTATATGATGCTATTGATGCTACTTCTACGAATGAGATTTAGTGATTAAATATTACTATATTTCGACATCAACCCAATCATGAGCAGAGTGTTAAGACCGGCCTACTGTGAGTTGTGCTGTAGCTGGAGACCCTTGGCTGGAACCCAGGTTTCTGAGGTTGCCGTGGTAACCTTGGAGACATGGGATCTAGGTGGATTCTCCTGGAGGTCGTGTTCCGTTATCATGGGACAGATGTGTTATCTGCCTGCATCTCTTGCAGGTTGATACAAATTAAACTCTAAGGCACTTCACTGTGGCTGGACCAGACCTGAACAAATAGAGCACCAAAAAGCCACCCCCCCTCAGACTCCAACTCCCAGCAGGCTCTGTGGTTCACACCTGAGTGTGAAATCTGAAACCTCTGCCACTGTTGAACCGTACTCTCACCTCCCCACAAGGATTAACAACCTTTGTTCCATGGACTCTGTGACCCTCTGGTCACACCTCACAATGGATCAACGGCCCTTAGGTTGCTCTGAACATTGTCTTACACACCAATCATCAGACCAAAGGGGGGGAATGTTGGGCCTGAACATGTGGTTG